GCCATTTTTGTATTACTCGGTCGATTTTTCTCTTCCTTTTCCAAATAGCCTTTGGATAGGGCCAGGCGCAGTGCATTTGCCACGCCTGCGCCCACGTCGGGCTCCTCATCTAATATAGCTCTCTCCTCGACGTCATCGCCCAAATTATCTAAATCAGCGGGCTGCATCACTTCATCAGGATTAACCGAATTCCATGTGCCATGACTTAAGGTTGGTTCCTCCTGATTGGCATCCATATGTTCATCCAACGCCTCTGCTCTGTCAAAGTCCATCATATCATTGGAGTCCTCATTGCGATTTCCAGCCATGCCATAGGTGGGTATATCGCCCAGCGTGCGACAGAACTCCGCAGTGGCATTGAGCACAATATTGCCATCGGCGCTGCTAAGCAGGACACCGCCAGCGTCGGTAGCATCATCCACCGGCTCAGGTTTAACGTTGTGCGTAATGGATGTCACATCGATGGGCAGATGTTTCTTGATAATGTTTTCCTTTTGCTTAAGTTTGCGAGCCTTAGACAGTACGCGCTCCAAATCATCATCATCGTCATGTTCCAGCTTGATTTGTGGCTTCGACTCATCTGTCATATTTACATTTTCGTCGGTTTCGCGGTTACTTCTTTGACGGCTGCCTAGATTTGAAGAGCCCGACAACTCCGCAATTGGTTCCAAATCCTCGGCTTTTAGCTTCTGGCGCAGTTTCTTAATTTTCTTCTTTGGCTTTTTAAAGCTACAGGAACAAGAATACAAAATTTAATTGGTAAAAGCATAATCTAATGGATCATAGACAAAACTTACGTCGCCAGCTCCTCGACACTGAAAGTATCTGATGCTAATTTGATATTCGTATCCTGCAACGTTTCCAAACGTTTACCAGCTAATTTGGTCTTAATTTCTAATAGCTTTCGCTTATGCTCACGCTCCTCTTCCATGTTTTCGCCAATCAAAAAGTTCTTTCGCTTCTGGGGCTGCCCCTCGATATCTTCATCGTATTTCTCGAGTATGGCACGCTCAATTGGATTTCCAAGCTCATCGTATTGCTCTTCATAGACATTATAGCCATAGCTTAGCGGATTGAGCTTTTTGTTTGCCACATTTTTCTTGTAGCGCTCATCATCAATCATATTGACATTAACCAAAGTGTCACCCTCCTCCTCGTTGAGTACGTCCTGATCTTTGAGCGTTAGAATAACTGTTCGGCCCTCACCAAAGTCATCCACGTCATGCTCAACACGTAAGCCCTTCAAATTGCGATCACCATAGGCCAATTGACGAGCCTTTTGCTTTTCCTGTTCTATTATATCGGTAACACCAAACGCCTCATCAAGTTCCTCCAACTCTTTGGCCTGCACCAGGTAAGAGACAAAATTAGTTCATTTTATTTACTTGGTATCTGCAAGTTTTTTTCATATACTTACTTTGCGCAGCGCCTCTTCACGCTGATTAACAACACGCTTGTTGCGATCCACCCACTTGGAGACATTGTCTGTTTCCTCATCCGATTCGCCAAGCGTGCGAATGCGTGCCAAGCGTTCTTCGAGGAAACGCTTCTCTTTGCGTTGCTTAAGCTTTTCGCGTAGTTTTTCGGCCTCCTTTTTTTCTTTAATATTATCTGCTGGCTTATGCAAGAACTCGCCCCATTCATCCTTGTACGAAGAGAGATCCTTATCGGTGGCAGACCTTTTGTTTTCCGGTTGACTACTACTGCTGGCGGATGGCGCTGATTTGCTTGGCCCAGTTTCCACTTCAAGTGGCTTCAAGCCAAGCTTAGCACGCAATTTGTTTGTCTCTGCAATGGAGAGTACATCACCAGCACCGCTTTCCGGTATGGGCGAGTGGCTTCGTGAGCGGGCACGTTCGCGCTCCCGTTCACGTCCTGGCTCTCGCTCTCTATTGCCACGTTTACGGCTAGCGATATTGTCTGCTTTTGGCGAGTGCGAACGTTGCCGATGCGGTTGGTGGCTTGCTATTGGTGATTGTGACCGAGAACTTCCGCGGCCACGTTCACGATCTTTCACTCCTCGTCTACGTGATTCGCGTTCACGTTCGGTTTCACGCTCTCGTCGTCGCTCGCGCTCGTAATCCACATGCTTCGATATTTGCGGTGGTGGTGGGGCTGTTATTTCATGATCACGTTCTCGAACTGGTAGCTCACGCTCCCGAGCAGGTGGCTCCCGCTCCCGAGCAGGTGGCTCCCGTTCTCGAGCATGTTGTTCCCGCTCTCGTACAAGTGTCTCACGCTCCCGTGCCAATGGTTCTCTTTCCCGAGTTGGCGGATCTCGTTCCCTCGCTGGCGGTTCACGTACCTTCGCCCGGGCAACTTGTTCGATCGGCACCTCCACGCAGTCAGAACCTGCAAAAAGAAGGTTTAAACTTAATAAAGCTTCCAAATACGCTTCTTTTGCTCAATAGCAAGTTTGTAAGTAAAATTGTTGGCTGTTTTGTCGCGCTTTTTTCTCACACTCACAGTTTGTCGACCTGAAAACCACAAATACAGAGAAGAAAAGAACAACAAATCTTTAGTGAGCTCAAGTCTTAAGAAGTGCAGCTCCAGGGTAATTGCGTGGCATAAAGCATATAGAATTAACCCAATAAATATCGCTTTTATGTTTAAATTGTGCTCGCCAGGTGCGCAATTACCCTTTAAGTTGGGCTGCACAGCCGATTAAGGAAAGTGCGTCACTTACTGTCCGAGTCCGACTCCTCGAGAGATATGACCTCGCTGGGTCGCTCTCGCTCCTTTTGCTTGTGGTGCTTATGGCGATGTTCCTTGTGCTTCTTGTGCTTGTGGTGTTTGTGTCGCGTCGACGTCGAGTCGTCTGTGAGATCCAGAGTTACCTCCTCATCCGGTCCGCGGTGTTGCCGTTCATGTGAGCGCGAGCGATGACTATGTTTTTTGTCCTTCTTATGTTTCTTTCCAGACGAAGAACCCATTTTCAACAATATTTGGAATCTTTTCTCAACTTTAGAAATTTATAAACGTTTTCGGTATCTTTTTTATTGTTTTGCCTCACAACTTTTTCAACACTGTACATCGCAGTGCTGTGCGCACAATGCTGCCAACTGACTTCGTTTAGTCATTGAAGTCTATCGACTAACCTCCACATTTTATCGAGTATATATAATCGGTACGTCTGGCAACATTTTTGGCGCTTTTTTTGAATTAATGTATAAATATACATATGTTCAATTGATTGCTTAACATAAAAAATATTTAATATTTTTAATGCTTGATACGATTATTCAATACTATAAAACTTATCGGATGTTTATGTCGTCTATGCCCAGTCAAAATCAGCTTCAATGTTCATTAATACGTTTGTATGCGCTGTTATTACTGTTTGCATGAACTTAATAAATGTTTTGTGTTGTTTTATATGAATAGCTAAAACTAAGGATTTTTATATAAGAATCTTAATTAATTCGGTCCCAGCGCCAAACGGTGCTGTCATCGCACACGCATATCAGAATGGAGCCATCCTTGGAAAAGGAAGTTTGTCTTATGGTGGATACGCATTTGGGATGCATAAGTTGGCTGCATTTAGTCAAATTTGGATCATTGGAGTCCAGCTCCCAGACAAATGTTGTGCCCAGCTGATTGCCAAGTGCCAGCACTTTTTGCCAGGCATTAAAGGCGAAACGCACAAACCAAATCTCGCACATTTTGTAGTCAAAATGATGGAGAACAGTGGTTGAGTCCTGCGGCTTGATTTCGTGACGCTGTGCGAACAGCTTGCCTGGTTTCCAGCACACAATTGAATTTTCGCACGACTTGGAAAAGACAAAGTCGCCGAACCATTGGACGCAATCAACATAGTTGCGATGAATGTCGCGCGTAGAGAAGTCAGGAAAATGTTCCTTGATTGTGGGAAACGGAGCCGTATTTTTGCTGGCATTAAAACTTGAACTCAGTTCAATAGCCTCCTTAATAGCGGGCTTATTAAGCCGCCAGAGCTTGAGTGAATGATCCATTCCGCTGGACATGATGCGATCACCGCGTAAATCAAAGTCTATTGATAGCACCTCGTCACGATGACCCTCAACGCCGCCAAACACTGCTACGCAAACATCTGTCTGTATATTCCACAAGCGCAGCGAGTGATCCTTGCTGCCGGAGAGCAGCAGCTGCGGCAGCACCGGATGGAACTTCAGCTCGTTTATGGCATGTCCGTGGCCAATGTAATTCTTTGAGCACTGATGTTTGATGATGTTGAAAATTCGTATGACGCCACGATAACCAGCTGCAGCCAGTACCGGGTCTCCGTTAGTTGAATCATAGGACCAAGCACAAGTGTAAAAACTTTCATCAGTCTGGAAGTTACAACAATTGTATAATACGTAATTGTTCACCCGAGATTCATTGACTTACGTCCGGATCTGCGTAGACCTGCAGCAATCGTATGCTGTCACTGTCGTCGGACACAGCTTCCATGTTGTTCTTGACGCATTCGTAGATAGACACGCGATCTTTGCCAACAGTTGCAAACACGGATTGGCTTCTATCCAGATAGGGATTGAATTGTACGCCAAAGATTTGATGATTGTGGTCCTCGCGGATGTGATAGCTGGAAACAATTTAACCGAACATGTAAAATAATTCATTTCTTGTATTTTTTGCATAGCGCACCTATACTTGTACAGAGGTTGCACCATTTTAGGCGCCTTGATACGCCGGCACAGCCTTTTCAGCTTTCGCGTATTTGGCGACTTGCTCTTGCTGCGCGTTGTTGTTGTCGTTGTGCTAAAGACGCTAGCAGAATCCACCGAGAGTGTGTCCTCAATATCGACACCGGTGCCGGCAAGTGCAGCCGTATTGGCTATTTCCGGCGTTGCCTCGTCTGTAAGGGCATCGCCATTTACCGATTGTTCCTCTTTACTTTCGCTAGAACTATTTTCCATAATTGCGCGACTTTTGTCTTGTTTACTTTTTTTTTGTGCTGTGGCAGAGCTGCCACCTTGTTACGAAAATACCAGACTCGCGAATTTAAATAAAATACCACGTTTATAAAGCAATATGTTATATTTCGTTTTCTTATTTACGAACTAAATTCTCACGACGTCCAGGCTCTGTTAGCGTGCGATTGGCACTCAGCAACTCATCAAGATACTTGTCGACCTCCTTATAAGCTTTCAAACTATGATCTGTACGCGAGAAAATCTCATTTATGAAGTAGATGCGTAGCAAGTCCGCCTTTGTATGCAGCAATTGCGCGTGCGCTTGCTGCAGCTTCAGCTCATTGCCCAGATGAGGACCCGTCTTTAATTCGGCAGCCTTCATCATCAGTGCGCACTTGTGACTGGACATTTGCGCTAGCTTTTCCAAGCAAGCACGCTGCTCCTTTTGCAATTCAATTATCTTGTGCTGTCCTGGTGTCAAGTCAACGTCTTCACCTTTTGTCAATGCATGTGGCAGTTCGCTACGTATCTTATCGCCCATTTCTGCAATTGGCGTGAGGGTTGCGCGCAGATTGGCGGCCAGATGTGTGCGCATGACCTTGCTGTCGGTATAACTCAGCGGGGGGCATCTACTGCATTCCTGCAAGTCTAAAAATGTGGCAGGCGTCAATGCAAATCATAACGCATATACAATTGCTTTCTGCTTACCAAGCAAATGTCCCTGATCATCGCCCAGGCGCACATAATCGGCTACCGACACTAATTTGAGAGCACGTTTGATTTCTGGACTCTCCTCAGATCCTAGGTTTAAACAGCGAATTTCATTTAATATCAATTTTAGCTTTAAAACTTTTTTCAGCTCAACGTCACGCGCCTCTAGGAGCTCTTGCGTCTCAGTGCTTAGTATTGTGTTGGATTTATCATCCATTTCCATTATAAACAATATATATAATTGTAATTCTTTGTTTTAAACGCAGTAGTGCTGAGCACGGTTGTAGGAATTGGTACCAGTGCTTAAAAACACACTAAAATATGTTGCAGCTCTACGATATTCTTGAGAGTCGCTGTTTTGAGTTAGGATAACAGAAACATTGATATCGATAACAATGCGGGAATACTGAATGTAATTTCAAACCCAATAACATAAAGAAATTCATGAGTTGCGCTACAATATTAACAATTCCGTTTCAATTGATTGCTGGCCAATATCCTTAATATGTATTAGAATATAGAAAATTGTAAACAGCTTCACTTAGTTAATTAAACTATGTTACTCGATAGACCACATTCAATAACGGATTAATCTCTACAATTTCATTAATCGTACAGAGTCGTTTTTCTGGTTGAGCGCAATTAGGAAAACTGTTGGCAAAAAGTTTGTATTGAAATTACCAAAAAAATGGGTACAATTACAATATATACCTTTCAGTGTACGTTTGGTTCAACAGCCAGCCCAAATGGACCGCAATCACAATAGCTGCCGCCACTGTGGTTGTCTCCCGGTTAATTTACGCTACAATAAAGTATGTGCGCAGCAGAAAATCGGAAGTCCTGAACATTCTCATATTTAATGAGCTGAGCGGTTCATGTGCCGCAAAGCATTCCGGAAGAGCGCCATTCAAGTGTCGGAACAAATACTGCACAAAGAGCCACATTCAGAGCATTGTTCATCAAATTGACCAGGCGCAGCATTCCATCGATATTGCAATCTATACATTTACCATAATAGAACTCTTGGAGGCCTGCAAGCGTGCGCTGCGCCGTGGAGTCACAATTCGTGCGATCAGTGACCACGAGATGATCTGCTCAAGCGGCTCGAAGGTTTCAAGTCTGAACAGATTGGGCGTTGAGGTACGCATGCCACGAACAACCGCCATGATGCATCACAAGTTCATGGTGATCGATGGAAGGGCGCGCGTGAATGATTTGCGGCTGAAAGATCGGAAAGCGAAACCACGTGCCTGCCAAAGTGTCGTGGTTTATGGCTCGACCAACTGGACATTGCAAGGCTTTAATGGAAACTGTGAGAATTGCGTTATTACCTCGGACAAGCAAATGACTGAACAATTTCAAACTGAATTCGACAGAATGTGGAAATCTTTTGAATATTCTTCATGTAAAGTCAAAACGTGCATCAAATAGATTCCTTGTTCTTTTTATATACACTTTATTTTGTCAATATAATTACTGTTTAAGATTAAATGAAAACGCATTGATAATACTATCAACTATTTTGCCAGTTGTTTTAATTTTTCAAGGCGGCGCATAAATGTCTCTTTCAAAGTATTCAGTCTCTCGAGCTCCGAGCGCATCTCAATATATTCCAGGTAGGAAACTTCCGATTTAAGTAGAATCTCATGCTTGAGTTTCAACACGCGGTTCACTTCTTTCTGTTTGCGTTGAGTTTTAATTAGTTTCACTACCAGTGCTGTTTCCTTTGACTTCTTGAGCGACTTTGACTTTTTCAATTTCTAAAATTTGAGTAACTATTAGTATTCATTTTCAAATATTTATTTAATTTACTTACTTCCATTATTGTTGTATTCTATGGCCAATATAGTAATCAGCTGGAAAATATAGTATGCCGCTCAATTAAGGTGGCCATACTTTTTTTTTGTAAAATAATCGATAAATGATATCAGCTTGCCTAAGCGATAGTCGTGTACAAAAATAAACAGAAAAAAAAATACAAAAGATTTGTGTTCATTGAGGTGTTGTCATTTATACTTTTGAAATGAATGCGCTCACGGATAAGGTGCTTGTGACTAAGGAGGCACTAGCTATGTCCCTTGGTGACAACTGGGAGCGCTATAGGGCAAATATGAAGAACTGGTTTCGCAACCGATGGACCAAAGAAGAATTTGATTGCGAGTCCCGCAAAATCATGTCGCCAGACAAGTTGCATTTGCACAATCAGTTCCTCTTGGCGCTGCTCAATAAAATAGATGCTTTTGCGGCACCAGAAACCATTGCTACACTACAGCCCACTTGCCCCACCGGAAGCAGGAGCGGCAGCGGCGCCGGAAGTAGCAGCAGCCGAAAACGCAAACGCAGCTCACGCACCTTTGCCGATCGCATTAATTTTGAGCTGTGCGATGTATTGGAGTTCGTTAAGGAGGACAACATGCAGGTGATACGCCCGCCTACATTAGGTGGCGATCAGGGACTGCAACAACAACAGCTTCCCACACAACGCTACTGCGCACAAGAATTGTTTTTGCCCGACGCTGGCTTCATTATGGGCCGCTTCCTGATCGGCGCCTGGGAAATCGGCCTAATCTCCGTGGAAGACAGCGTGGCTGATTATGTGGCCATGGCTGTACAAGTGCTGCTAAAGGACTTACTTGCAGCAATTATAAAAAAACGTAAACATTATAAAACCAGCGGCGAGGGCAACTTTTTCTATGACGTCGGCGCCCAACTGCGGGATCCTTCGCTGCGCAACACTGTGACCCGTCAAAAGGTGGACGATACTCCTCTGGAACATGACAAAGAGCTGAACACCGCAAACTTTATGAGGCGACAAAATGATGACATTGTTTTTCTCTCGGCCTGCGAACAAGTGTAAGCAACTGCACACAAATTAATTTGACAGACTTTTACATTTTGTCCATATATTCCAACAGTTTGCCCTGCGAACGTACTGTGATCACACTTAAGGATTGCCAACGCGCTTTTCGCGATCGAAACCTCATTGGATCTCATGCTGTCTACTCTATAAACATGGAGCGATTAAATATGATGATGCACTAGAATATTACAAACCTTTTTTTTATTCTTTAATAACAAATTTGAAAAAAAAAAACGGTTGCAAGTCCATTTAAATTTAACAAAGCTCCCTTGGCGGTGGCTTAAAGGGCACCTGTCCAGGCGCAAATTGATCTGCTTTAAAGGCCGCTATCTCTTCCGGTGTAAGGTCCTCCATGCGACTATATATAGATGAGCTATTGTCGGGTTGCGAAGGTTGTTGTAGCACCTGCTGCTGCTGCTGCTGTAATGCATTGAGCTGTTGTGGTGCTTCCGATTGCATTTGTTGTTGTTGCTGCGGTTGCTGAAAACCAGCCGGCGGTTGACCGAAAAACCCATTCGGCGCCTGTGCAGCTGCTTGTGCAAAAATATTGCCTGTATTTGGCGCCGCAACAGCGGCGCTTTGACCAAAGATGCCGCCAGGCTGAGGTTGAGATGGCTGCAGCTGCTGCGGCGCAAAGGTTACAGCCTGTCCGAAGGGCGATGCATTTGCCGGCTGCGCTTGGGCAAAAACGCTACTGCTGCCACCAGAGAAAGCTGATGGCGCCTGTGCCTGTCCAAACGGATTCTGTTGCTGCTGCTGTTGCGGCTGCGCTTGTCCAAATATTGAGGGTTGCGTCTGTCCCAGTGCCTGTTGCTGCACGAACGGGCCTGGCTGCTGCTGTTGCTGTTGTTGTTGGGCAAATATGTTTTGTGTACTTGGAGCAGCCGCAAAAATGCTAGTGCCAGCATTGTTGCTACCCACGGAGGCACCTCCAAAGATAGAATTTCCACTAGACGCGAAGCTTGGCGCAGCAGCAGCGCCACCAAAAATGTTGGCAGTACTAGAGCCCAAAGCGGGCTTGCTGAAAATGGAGCTGGTTTGTGCTGCATTGTTGCCGACAAAACCAAACGGATTACTGTTATTATTGGCCGCTGGCTGGTTGCCTTCCGGGCTTTCATATAGCTTGATCATGACATCGATTATTTGGGGTGTTGTCTGCAGCATGACCTTCATTTTATTCGTGGTATCAAGCACCTCTTTGGTGAACTGCTGATGAAATTGCTCGAAGCAATTCTGTCGGCGACTTTCGTACGCTTGGTACCTCACCTCTTCGAAGGACTGATCTTCAATGAAGTTGGGTATGTTGGGTTTGTCCTTAAACGGTCCATATACAGAAAAAGGCCACATTTTACCATTTATGCACGATTCGATGTCTGTTTTAAGGTATTGTCTAAAAACGAGAATGCCAGCATAAGCTCGGAGTTGTGTGGCCTTTATGGCTCTACTTACTTTACATCAAAATGTTCGTTGTGGCATTTTGTACCAAATCGGCAGGAGCCCTGTTGAAAAAAACGGCACACACCCATTGTAATTGTTTAACAAAAATATAAACAAAAATCTATTCGCATCTGTCAGCACAATTGTTTGAGCGCTGTTGAAACAGCTGATTGTGTTTGCAAAACGAAGCTGCCAACTTGTCGCAAGAAATGTTTCTGGTCTGCTCAACTTATGTATATGAATTTTACTTGCAGTGGGCTTCAAGTTACTGAAACATTTTTGAAAAGCATTTTCATGGCATTTAAAATGTAAACTGTCTAATATTTTATCACTGGCAAGGTGTTGTCTGTCAATTGTTGTCACATCGATTGACGAATATTTTTTAATATTCCGCGTGATCGATATATCATGTTAACCCCTCGTGAGGCTATTATGCTATCCAAGCTGTTGCTGTTAACATCTGTTAAATAACATTAATGTTTAATTTGTTGTTGGAATTTGAGCGGGTCGGTCGCGTCGGCTTGTCACGGACAAAAATGTTGACGCTTGTAAATTATTGCAAAGATAATACACACGCATCAAGCACTCGCCCCTTTAACTAGTTTTATGTACACATAGCAAGTTGGTTGTGCAAAAAGAAAAAAGGTACCAGATCGCTGATTTGTTTTGCGTCTGCGTCTCTGTCTCACATAAAGGGCAGGCAGAAAAATTCAAGCCAATAAAAGATACATACTAAAAGCCGAAGTGCGCGAAATTGTGCCTGCTTGTTTTTACGTGTGTATATGTGTGTGTGTGTTTATATTGTGTTGCAATAAACAAAGGATACTTGAATGTTATTGCTTTAAGAATTGTGTGAGCATTTTCGTTATTCAAACAATTTATCGCGGATCGCGCCATATTTGCATCGGAATGCGGCAGCAACAGGAACACGCATGCGTTTTCAAATATTTGTTACTGATGTCGCGACCGTGGAACAGTGTAATTTAACACACTGCGAAGTTGTCTAATCTCACTTGCTTCTTCTTGTGTATGTGGCCAACGGATCGCCGCCAACCGCACGCTGCAGTAGTATCTAAGTTCCACGCCAAAAAGCTTCGCCCTGAACTGTGTAAATAGCAAAGAGAAATAAGAAAGAGAGGCATAGAGCGACTGTCAAGCCACCAACATACATACATACATACATATGTACGTGGGTAAGTACGCCCTCCCCTGCCTACGGACTAGCTCGGCATCTTTGCATATCTCTAACAGCCCGCCCACAAGCCTGGTGTATTTGTAAGGCAAACTGAATTAACTCATAGATCGGCGGCATAAGAAGGTTCATTCTGCCACTTCCCCTCTCTCAAAGCCGCACATATTGCCGTATTCTGGCGCACTGTAACGCCTACTTGGATGCGTATTGGGAGCGGCACGTCTTTTGTTTTTCTCTACAGTTCTATGGGCAAGATTTGAACAAGTAAATAGTCAACGAAACCAAACACAGTTTCTACAAAAATTAATTTCCAAATCAGGCTCAAAACAGGCGGAAAAGGGTCAAACTTCAAATGACAATAACATCAATTTTGAGGCATTTATATGCGCCAATAAATTTTACATTGAAACACAACAATAACAGCAGGAGCAGCAGCAAAAACAAAGTAATAACAACAACAACAACAAAAGAGCAGAACAAGATGCACGACAACGGCTCAACAATAAGAGAGATCAAATAAAAAACTGCAGTCGCTGCCGACGCTGCTTTCGATGTTGTTGTTGTTGATGTTTTTATGTGCTGCAGCAGGTAAAACTGATTGAGCGGCCAACAACAAACAGTGCGGCATTTCGAAATGTAATGTGCAGCAGATCAATACGAAAATTCATGCAAGACAATCTGCAGTGAAAGAGAAAAAGAGAAGAGAGCGAGCCATGCAAGCCCAGGCTAGCAACCTGTTGCGTCGGCTGCTGCTGCGCTGCTGCTGCTGCTGTTAGAAATATGTTAAGTCAATTTCGTGTATCGATAAGGTGTAACTAATGCCAAAACTGCAGGCAACAGCAACAACAGTTATGCTAAGTTCGTTGCACGAGCTTTTTGTCAATGAAATCGCTGGCTGGCTGGCAAAAAAAAAAACTTTCTTTTTCTTGTGAGCTTATCACGCAGCATCGTTGAGTGCGTACACCGACTTCGCTGCCCCAGTCGCTGCTCTGCTCTCTTTTCTTAAGCGTGTCATTTTGTGTCTGTTTTTTTTTTTTTATATATATATAATTGGGCGGCCTTTTAGTTGAACGCGGCGGCAGCATATCAGATTCGTGGTTCATTAAGACAATATAGGTTTCCTCGTGTACCACTCCCAGTTACCGCTGTGTGGGAAGCTTGGAATGTATGAGTGAACGTGTTTCTGTGCCTGTGTGAGGTGTGTGTGTGTGTGTGTGTGTAGTTCTTGTCATGTTGGTCGCATCTTTGATTTCCTTTAACTGAACGTTCAACTTGTCGCAACAAGTGTCCCAGTTTATGGCCACGGCAAGCAACTAGAACAAGTTATTGTTTAACTTCCTGTCCAGCTATCGACACCGCCGCCACCACACATCGCAGCATACTTTTCCTTTGGACTTTTAGTTATTTTTCTTAGGCTGCCGTTGCGGCAACTGCCTCACCTTGCCCATTATCGTTGGCAACATTTTCCCACAAAATGCAGAAAATGTTGCTGCAAGCTTTTGCATTGGCCCGCCTTGAAAATGACAACGGCACATCAGACAAGAAGAAAGCAGTCTTGTGGTCGGTCTGCAGTAGCTGGCATCCCAAGCCTGCAGACATACATATGTGTGTAGCTAATGCAGGGTATATTTTAATACATAGAAATGTTTTTTATTTCCCACCGATTGTTCATATAATAGCTATATGATAGAATGGTCTGCTGATCAGAACTTAAGAACTCTATCCTTACTGAAACACAAATGTGTTGCTTTTTGGAATAACAAGCTTAACTTCCTGTACCGATGCGTCGGCATGCTTTAGTAACAAACACACTGCACAGCCATCCAATTTGACCTATTATAACTTGGCTATCAGACCACAAATGGCCACCTCCTAAGCATCAGGCTTCTGCTCTGCGGATGCTGCGCTGTTGATTCCATTGTACGGAGCAGGGAATGTTGCCATGTCCACGTAATTACTACTGTGCCGGCGCATTTAGGCGAACACTGTGGAAACTAAGATAAAATGTAACTGCACAGAACGCCAGTAAGTTTCTGTTACTTGGATATTTGGGCAGAAAATAATATCGCATGCACAAATTAACATTAACACTCTATTTGCCGTTAAAAACAAGTTTGTGCTGAGCTAAAATACTTAAAAAAAATAATGCCACAAAAAGTTGTGTTAGAAGACAAGAAAGCACGAAGAGAAAATATGTAGGAGTGCTCGACTTTGAAATGCCCTGTTCAGCGCAACAGAGGGCGGAAATAAAAAATGGAATACAAGTTGGAGGGAGAACATTAATAGCTCCTAAAGTCATTTGCTCTAATTAAGTTACTCGGACTATTGGACTTTTAAACCTGATGCTCGGTTCAAAAAGTGCGCATTGCATAAACGCGTTTTTCTTTTTTTACATATATTATTGACATCGTTTTCTGGATGAGTACAGGGTATTAGACAACCAAAACGACAGCATCAAAACAGTACATTTAGAAATTAGAAAGTACGTCGAACGGTGCGGTGTTAGTATAACTCGATTTGTGACTGTCATAAATGGCGGAAATTGTGGGTCTCAACGACGACGTCGCCACAGCCTCGGCTGAGTGGCTAAGACTTTCTTGCTTACTTTCCACTGCTGCCGCAGCTACTGCCACTTTTGCTGCCAACTGACTGACTCGGCCAGATTGCCAGAGTCTTTGGCTGTGGTTTTCTTGCCTATAATTTGTGCCATCAACATTTTGTTGTCGTTATCGTTAGAGCTCGGACTGCGACTGCAATGATGCGTGCTGCATCTAGTGAAGTTATTAGCCAGCCCTTTACAAGTACGTGGGGCCCCATTTTCGTCAGCGGTCAGAGGTTTATCAATTTCGCTTGCCTACCTTGTTTACGACTTACTCAATTCGCACCGATGATGAAAACCACGAACAGGTCCAACAATCTGCTTTCATTAATACGCTTAGGGCGACTTGATTTATAAACAAGCAGCATCCAACAAAGAGCAGTCAACTTTTGATCGTGGCACAGCTGTTGAAAGACGAGCCCAGCTACAGCTACAGAGATAAAATTCGCTCTTTCATTTTGAATCATCCATGGTTCAGTGGTTCCATGCTGCGTATTGGATTACCTGATGTCCACATATTGCAAATTTTTTTTCCTCATTTAAACGAACGGTTCTCGAATAAGTTTATTAATGTTGCTATATGTCAAGTAGAATTGAAAAGGGTTTATTATTGCCGATGTGTCAAAATATGGTGTTATAATCTGGTTGTAACCACATAATGGTGCCTTACAACATGTTCGATTGCTCTAATTATACTTTACAAGCAATCTCTTGCAAAAAAAAACCACCTGAGTGTTGTACACATTTACCAAAATGCATACCTCTTAATTGAAGAAGTGCACAATATAACTTTAGGGAAGGAAAGTTCAAGAGAGTACAAAGAGTACCCTAACATGTATGTATGTTAGAATATATGTACATACGACTTCTAAAGTCCTATTATGGCATTTAAAATCTTTCAATCCGGAAGTTTCTGTCGCACAAAAGCGACCGCATTATGGTCCAAATGAATCCAGAGCGTCGCATAAGCCGCTTTGTTGAAGAAAGGAAGTATAATTCCCCGGCACACAGACACACACGTGTGCAATCTTTATAGCTATTTTAATGATTTCCGCTTTAATGGCATTGCTTATTACGTTTTAATATTGGTAAAAAAGAAACGTAGCTAATCGACTATGCAATACCCTGCTCACAGGGCTCACATCCCGATTATTGGTCATTAAAGGTCAGCAACTAAATTTGTGGAAGAATTTTGGGATATATTCATTTAAGCGCTTGCACGAAATTATTAATACTGACGCGGATGCACACATATTTAAATTAATTTGAATTAAATAAAGATTAAGAAATGAAGTAAATCTTCATAAACATTTAATAGAAAATTAATTGGACTTTTGTATAAGGCATTGCCAGTGGCATTTATTGCGCATGCGTGACCTCGTACGTTGCTACTTACAGAAGGGTATATTGGTTATCTGTATTGGTATATTGGTTATCGCAATTGTGGAAAACGGTTATATGAAACTTTTTTGGTTCCCATTTCGATCGGTCTAAAAACCCATTCCAAGGCCATTTGTGTTTGACACTCCTTGTGGAAAAAGGGAGTTTAACCATTTTGTGGCCAGGTGCAACATATATCTAAACATAACTATGAAAATGCTAGAAGGTTTTATGAGCATTTTAAACATTTTGGAAATTCCTCCATAAACTTCAGAAAATTGGCAATTAATAATTGCAACTATGAGCCCCGTTTTCCCCCACTTTAAGACAAAACGCATGTGGGTTTATTTGAGTACAGTTTTACTCAAGCAAAAGTTAACTTTCTAGCCATAAATAGCACATTTAGTTTTAGGAATTGCCATATCAGACAGATGGTCTTGACTTAATTGTGATGAATTTGTAATTTAACGTATTTGCAACCGTTATATTCTCGACTCAATGAACACGAATCTTTGATCAAAACATGGCTGTTTCCAGTCCAGTTGACAGCTATGAGATTCTATGTTATTTATGTATCACTTATGCATAATTTGAATGTCTGTGCGAGACACTCCCCAATTTCATCATGTGATCTACAACCGCACAGTTCCAAATGCTGAATATTATTACAGAAAGCCAATCCCCCAGCAACTGCTGCGCAATATAAACAGCACATATATCCATATCCAAACGATGTTTATGGTTAATGGGAATCATTTGATTTCAACGATTGACAAAGTGAGGCCCAATCGAATAACTTCTGGATTTCATGCCAAAGTTGCCACATCACAATCTTATAAAAAATAATATACTTTTCTTAAAATATATATATTGATTGATAAAATAAATTCACTGATTTAATTACATGAAAAATAAAGAGCAAATTTAAAGCAACTGAAGTTGACATAAGCACTACCCTTTATTTTAGGGTGTGATATTTGGGATTAATACAAATGCCGCTGGAACGCTGAAAATTGAGCGTGCCTTTTATAAACATGATTTCATTTTTTATGTCAAACATTATAACGAAGAGAGATTTAACTAAATAGTATGTTCTGCCATCGTGGGTGGGCTTTTAGGCTTTAATGTTCTTATGGCTAGGTTCGTCGTCGTCAAAATTTTTATTAAGTTGAATGATAAGTTTTGTGATTTGGGTTACACTTGTTTTTATTAACATCAAGACTATCCTATTTAAACTGGTTCGACTGGTTCGCTTCTCGGCAGTTGTTGACCAAAATGGTGATTGATAAATTTAGCGGCTTTTCCAGTCACGGTGTCACGTGCAATTTAACCGTCTTATGGTCGCTCCTCCCTCGCACCAAATTTGATAAATGAGCTACTCGCTGAAATATGATTTGGCCTGCTAGTCTCTCTGTCGTTTCCTTTTGTTTGCTCCACAGAGTTCATTCATGAAAATTATGCTGACTGTCTTTTTTAGAGCTGACTGCGATGGCGACAGCAACATCGAATGCGATGGTATTATCGTTTGTCATTCAATACAAACGACGAAGGCGTTTTTCGAGCAACATTTGAAAAACGATATACACATGCACGTCCATCCACATATAAATGTACATATGTAGGTGCCTTTTAGCTATGGTATAGTACATATATCTCGTTTCTGGTGCGTGCAACGCAAATGCAATCAAGCGTATGGATTCGGAAAGCGTCGCATTCGGTCGTGCTTTTGTATGTCTGTGCAGGAATACGTGGGTGTTGCGTTTGTCTGTTTTGCTTGACATTGCTTTTTGTGCGAGTTTTCTTGTCACATTTTCATGCGTTTGCTTACGAGGCGAGCCCTCGTGCTGTGGGCGACTGTTTAAAGTCGCTATAGATCAGGGCTGACAAATAGTTATAAGTTTAAGAAACTTAAAACTCGGTTTATCTATGATAGTTAATTTAATTGGTAAAAACTAGAGATGACCGCCACCTGCAGCTAGTCTAACACCTACCTGAAACTATTAATACAATGAGATTAAAAGGAATATATACATCGCACGTATCTAATCAAATTTTAGATACAAATTGCAATATGAGGCGGAGATGAATTCTTTAAATCAACGCATATTTATGTATCGCAAGGTATAACAAATTATAAGAAAAAATGTAGCATGTTTTTTTGGGTGTCATGCCGGGCTTTTAATTAAAACCTCCTGGGCTTCTCTCTGAACGTATGTTTCGTGATTGGCAGGTTTTGTCAGGAAGGCGTTTTAAGTATTTCTCGAACTATATGCTCTAGACATTAAATTTGTTATGTAGGTTAATGCAACACAAACACACTGATTAGAAATATAATTAGAATTGTTATTAAGACAGCTCCGTACAGGGTGTTTGCTAGTCGGTCTAGCAAGTCCTTAAGATTATTTTTGAAATACTAAGATGCCTGCACACATGTAGGCTTAAAGACAAGCCGCGAGACCATTCAGCAAGCATTTGCACAATGGAGCTTAATACATACTTGTATAATAATCAAATAAAGTTGCCATCCCTGGTTGATCCTATTCGCACACTCTTGCAATTGCTTTTTCAAGTATTTCTGTTGCCTGTTGGCTGTCGTCGCCGTCGCCGTCGCCGTCTTGAGCTGAGCTTAAGCCTTGCCTTTCATTACATATTTCATCGTCTGTGCGCGCGGTCAGTTTTGAATTGTGTTGTTAAGTAAGTGTACTTAACCCACATGACTTGTGGTTTTCTCGTCGCCGTGACTTGTTTTTGTTGTTGCTGCTTGTCATCACTTCCAAAAAGCTGTCGGTCTTGCGGCCACGGACGTGTCCGCGAACGGTGCGTGTACTATAAAAGAGATTTCTTAACCTTGAGTACATTTTAAGCATATGTATGTACACTTTCATACATACGCATTTGTTTTTAGCTTTTTTAACTTATTTACCAACCAAATTTTTACTTGTATTTTTATACCCTTCAAGAGGGTATGGCAATTCTGTCATAAAATATGTTATGCAGCGAACGACCGACTTTTTCCAACAAGTCTTTCGATTGCTGACTATATTATATAGCTGATGTAGGGACCTTTTGCTTTTGATGTATCCTCAGCAAATTTGATTTTAATTAATTCTACTTTCGTTTTTAATTATTATGAAACTCTTTTTAATATCGGGCTATTGTATAATAGCTCTGTGCGAAGAATCCGTCGATAAAACAAGGTTTGTGTGGAACACTTTTTTAATTTCTTTCACAAGAATTCATAAGACTTAACAACGAGCTTCATAATTCTCCTCACTTTATCTGCAATAGGGTATCAAATCTCTGGTGTGCCGGAGATAGCAGTTTCTTCTTCTTCTTATTATTTATTTATTTTTTTTGTAGTATTAATTTGAAGTGTGTTCATGTGCGTGTGGGTAAATGTGTGCTTATATCTCTTGGCTTTAAGCTCATTTCCTTAATTAAACACTTGTTTGAAGCTTCGTTGAGCAAAGAAATAAAAAATGAAAAATCAAACCTTGGCAAAATATGCCGATTGTCATAATTTCCAGACAAAACATTAAATGAATTATGTACACTGAAAGAAAGAGTCAAATAGTTTGTACTTAAATCGTTCTTCAGCGGTAGATAAAGGAATATTTTCAGTTTTAATAGTATCAATATAAGCATTGAAATAAATCGAAAGTAATTTTTAATATATAATAAATGACAACAGTCTGCAGTAATCTGTTGCATCATATAGATTCAATTAGAATTATTTTAGTCGAAAAATAGGTTTTTTATCACAAGTTTACGAACTATCAGCAAGACGGTGAGGCAAATATAAACGTCTTGTTTTGTCTTGTCTTTTAAATACATATTTAGTTATTAATTAACACGTTAGTGGACTCTTCAACCTTTGGCACCTATGCATGCAAATTAGTCGCATGCATGCAATCAACAGTGATGCGAATCGTTTGGCAAGCGCTAAACAAGTGGGCATGTGATTGATAGCATTGGAAAGGTGAAAGCTTCGTTCGTTGTACTCGTTATTTGACTTAACATATTGTCTGACAGTTAACTGAAAACAAGAGAGAATGGCATCGAAAGTGCGGCTTATATTTGTTCAGCTATCCCTTTCACAGCTGACAAAATGTGTGTAGTGTGTCATTGTAGGGCAGTATATTCAATATACAAATCCACAAATGCTGCCATCTCCTTGTCGGCTAAATAACCGAAGACAGAGTTCCTCCGACAAACCGCAACAGCTGCGACAAGTGAAATCGCGCCCGCCTAAAAGTTGGCCGGCAAATGACAACAGGTGTGAAATGTAAAACGCCAGAGTCCCGCGTCATTGCCAGAACTTACAGCAACGTACATTCAGCGGACAAAGCAAACCGGCGTGGGGTAACGTTTTTAACCACTTCCTCTTAGCTGCTTTGTTGTGTATGCAAAATTGCAGTAAAGAGGCAAACAGCATCGTTGCCATTACGAAATAACTAAAGAATGCAGCGAACAGTCTGGAAGGCAAGGCCTGGCCAGGCAGACGACTGCCAAGTGGGCTGACTGACTGACCGTCTCTTTGTTATACTCGCCTCACAAAGTTAACAAAAGTATATTGGTTTTGTGCAATTTCTGTGCATCCGTTCGTCTCGTTAAACTGACGTGAAACATGTGTTATAACTACAACTGCCATAGTTTTAAGGCTAGACTGAAAAACTTGTACAGGTCGCCTACTGATTACCTCTTCGAAAGATAAATCTTAGAGTCGCCAAACTTGTTAATTAATTAGACTGTTAAACAGGGTATTACGCAGTTGCAACGTTCTTACTTGTAACTGGCTCGAAATAAGTCTGCTGTTGCTGTTTTGTTTGTATCGCCCCACGCAATGAGGGCCAGAGTCGGAGCATTCTGAAAGACAACTAACAAAAGACAAAGCAACAGTTGTAAATCATCGAATTACCTCAAAATAATAACAATCACTCTTTGACTCTCTTCACCCCTCGTTGCTGTTGTTGTCGTTGTTGCCTTGCTGGCTTTGCCGGAGCCGCAGACGAAAATAAAATTGCCAAAAGTAAAGAGCAAAAACAATGCGAGAAGCCAACTCAAATCATGAGGGGGGCGGCAGCGTCAGATTTATATACATACCTAGCACAGACTCGTGTATGTGTGTAATTACCTGAGTCACACACAGATACAGAATCCGCTGCGAACAGGCGACGAGCAACGAAGATTTGGCCATTTGCAAAATGAAGAAACCCTAAAAGAAAATAATATTAAAACAACAGCAAAAACTTCGTGTGTCAGTTACGCTTAATGAGCACAGATATTGCTCTCATTGTTGTTGCCGTAGATTTGTTGCTTTTGATTGCCTTCCCGTAGCTGAATCTGAGCCCAAGCCTGGGCTTGGGCACCTGGGGTCGATTTCAGCTCTACGTTCGGAAATGCCAATACATGGTGCGAACTTTACTCCCCCTCTTTCCCCCTTTACGTTTAGCATCAACCTATTTTTGTCAAACAAATAAAATAAAAGAGGAAATCTTTTGCTAAATACATATGTACATACATAGAATTACCCGGCTTTGCCCGCGCCAAGGTTTTTTCTTTAATTTTTAAATATTATTTGCCATCATTATCTGGGTTTTCTCGCAATAAACTTGTATTTATGAATGCAAAAATCAAATAGAGAAGTACACGATTAACCCTTAAAAACATTGTGTTCCGCCAGTTAGGCGAAAATTATAACTAGCTGTGCTTGTTCCTTAATGTTAGACATTTTCTTGAAAAATCCAAGGGCTTATTACACCTTAACCACTTACAAAGCGTTTACTCAGTTTTGTTTCTGCGCAAGCGATGTTCTAGTTGTAATAACATGCCAACAAGCAGAGTCTACAGCTACAAACACTCTTTTTACATTAGAGAGCTCGAATAGTTGTTGTGCAAGAGAAAGTGTTGAGCCGTAAAATCGTTGGAGCCGGTTTCCCATGCTTAGTGGGTAGAGTTACAGTCATACGTGTGGGAGGTATTTTTTTTTGTATTCTATTTTAAAAACAAACAAACGATTTTAGCTAAAATTTGTATGCAGTTGACTTGCTTTAAGTTATTTACAAGGGAGAGTAATCGGGGATATTATAAGCTTGTCATGAAATGTGAAGACATCTTCGACCCGATAAACTCTCAACACCCGAGTTAGTCAGTCAGTCAGTCAGGACAAGCTTTTTTATGTATACAATTATATATTTAATATACATTTCAAAGGGATATATAAAGAATAACAGTTAAGCTTGCCTGAGGGCAACTCCAGATAGCATCATCCATCAACCCGTGTATTAGTTTTCACTTTTAAAATCAAGTAAGAGATGCGTGTGATAGTCACGGCATAGCCAGGTGCAATCTGTCATCTGCTGCGGTGCTTTCGGTTTTCAAATCAGAAACGGAAACGACCATTTAGTCAACGACCACGCGTCGTTTAGTAATAGCAATAGTAACAATAGCAATAACAATGACAGTGACAGTGACATTTTCATCGGTAAGACTCATCCAAAATTACGACGCTTCGTTGCATTTAGCTGCACACACAGACAACGTTGTCTAGGAAATTGTTAGGCGACTCCCTTTGTTTATGTGGCATTGGGCATGTGTCATGGCTGCACTGTCGCGGAAAATGTGCATTTCACTTTCTATCTAGCGGTTGCCTAATGGCATTTTAATTATTGTAAACATCGAAATGACATGCGGCGTGCCGCTAAATATCGCAAAAAATACATTTCCTAATGCTCTGCTTGTTTTCGTTTATCTTTATTTAAAAAAATCATTTTCGTGTTTTTTAATGTTGTGCTTGTTTAATACCCTGTCCATCTGAAACAGACACTACAAGGGCTCGATACATACATACAAAGCTATGTATTAAAGTTATCCTAGTTTCATCCCTATTTATTTATTATTATTGACATTTGTTGTTTTATTTCGAATTACAATAGGGTATCTTCTAGTCGGATAATTAACTAGAACACTCTCTTGTTTGTTTATCGTTTTATTTGGCAGCAATTGCGCAACATGGCGTCGAGGGCTTAGACACTCAAAATAAATAAACAAACAAACACAAACAAGTGAAAAAGGAACCAACATAAAAATGTCTGGCAATCAACAGCAGCAGCAACAACAACAACAACAGCAGCAACTACAACAGAAACCACAACAGCAACATACATTAGTAGCAACAGGATCGTCGAGCACTTTAGGCAATAATTTGATAAAAATTAATAGCGTTGACAAAATTGTACACAAAACGACAGCCACAACAACGACAACAACAACAACGGCAGCAGCAACAGCAACAACAGCGGCAACGACAACAACGCCGCATGCAATTAGCAAGCAACAACAATTACAGCAATTTCAGCAAAGACGCTCATTGCTGCCAGCAGCAGCAGCAGCGCAGCAAAGCGTAACAGTAACGCCAGCAGCAGCAGCAGGGCAATCGCATCAGCTGCAAACTGTGGCAACAATACACCAGCAACACTCAACCCTGCAGCAGCAGCAACATACGCACGCAACAGCATCGCGTCTGCCCATACAACAACAGCAGCAGCAACAACAGCAGCAGCAACAACAGCAGCAGCAACAGATTGCTAGCAATTCCAAGGAGCTGGCAGCCCATTCACAGTTGCCATCCACGCGCCGCAGCTTCTACCAGCTGCAACAGCAGGCAACGCTCAAGGCTGCACATCTAAAGGCGCCCGCCCACTCTATACCCCCTCGCTACCAGCCACCCCCACAGCCGGGGTCAGGTGGCAGCATACTAAAACCGCATTTGGCACTTAAATATCCGCCAGATATACCACAGCTATCCAGTATATATATACCTGATTCGGTTAAGCAACACCAACAACAACGGCAGCAGCAACAGCAGCAGGCACGCTATCTGCACCAGCAGCAACAACAACAGTCCAGCAAGGCGCAACAGGATATGCTGAAGTTTGTGCGTAAGCAAGAACAGGAACATCCGTCGCCCAGTGCTTCGGTCACGTCCAGCGTGGCGACGGGCATACCAACATCCAATGGTGGACGATTAACAATCGAACAAAATCGACAATTACAGGTAATGTCAATGCAAATCTGTACATTATTTATTTACCTATCTATTCAAATTTTCAACAGTCCCTGGTAAATGAGCTCCGCGCGCTGAAAGAGCAAAATCAGCGTCTGCTGGATGACAATCAGGAACTACGCGATTTGTGTTGTTTTCTGGACGATGATCGCCAAAAGGGTCGCAAGCTGGCACGAGAATGGCAGCGCTTTGGGCGATATACGGCCAGTGTAATGCGTCAAGAGGTGGCAGCTTATCAGGTAAGTTAGGGTTTAAATAGAAGCTGGAGTAAACGACACACACATATCTAACCATTATTAATACTCGCATACTTTCTATCAGAACAAATTGCGGCAGCTGGATGACAAGCAACAGGAGTTAATCACCGACAATCTGGAACTGAAGGAGCTATGCTTGTATTTAGATGAAGAGCGTGCCCATGTGGCCGCCAATGCACTCTGTGCTGGCTGCGGTGCGGCCACGCGCAACGCGCTGCGCGATGATGGAGACGGCTCCAGTTCAAGCACCAACGCGGACGAGACAATCACAGCGCTGCGCAACTATGCGGAACAAAGGCAATTGCCGGTAAGTGGAAATACTATAAATACGAGATTTCGGTGTTTCAATCTAATGCTCGGCTAAATTCTGTGCAGGATTTGCGCAACGCCCACACGCTCAACGATCAGACGCTGCAATACGTGCGCTCGCTGGAGCGACGCATACAGCAGTTAGAAGAGGAACGCACTGCGCCCACGGCTAATCTGCAACAGCCGCAGGCTCAACCAGCAGCACCAGCCAAATCAGCGCCCTCACCACATACACACACTCAGCAGGACATAAGTCAGGCAGTTGCCGCGGCTGCGGCGGCCGCTGCCGCTTTGCCCGAGCCAATTTCTGGCCGACCAGAAGCTGTTGTTCGAGCCCTACAAGTCCTGGAGGTGAGGGAGCAACTGGAACGCGATCGCCTGGGCAATCTGACGGGCTGTGCGCTCGACCAGATGGACGATGGCGAGAAGGCGCTGGTGCGCGAGATGTGCAACGTGGTCTGGCGTAAGCTGGAAGGGAGTCCCCACGGTCCCACTGCCCTAGAGCCGTTATAGGCATTTACATTTTTAGACAACACATACAAAAAAAAACTTGGCTAACAAACTTACTAAACGCATTGTACAAAGTTCAAACTATGACTTAGGATTAAGCGCTTTATTTAAAAAAGAAATACTCAAAATAACTATTTTTTATAATCCTTGACTGTTATATTTTTTATTCGATGAATGCACTGCTCTTGTTATATATCAAGCCTATTTTAATATTAACCGAGTGCGCATCCAGTAGCTCTCTTAACTACTGTATGAGATGTCCTTGAAATAGAAGACAACAAACATTTCCATAATAAAATGATTTTTCTTTATTATTTGGACCAAAATGCAAAACATTTTATTCATATACTCTAAAATTAAAATGAAAAGATTGTATTGCTTTTTGCATGTCTGTCTGCTCGTATATTAGAAAATCCATATTTCTCAAAGATTTAGACATAAAAGTGCTTACGTTTATATTTATAAATAGAAAATTGTAGACCTTTACAGGCCACGCACCATGCAGATATTACTTGGACACTCGGTCAAAAATTTTGAAAAGCAGCGTGTAAATAAAATCCAGTTCGACTAGCCTAGTTGGGCCCTACCCTCAACAGAAATTGGAATATCGACGAACAAAGGGTAGCGAGAGTAACTGAGATTAATAGAATGCTCAACAAGCTCGACAGACGTGCATTCTCGACCACTGCAATAGAGTCACGTTTTCATTCGTACTGATTCTACAAGAGATTTCTTATTTTCTTCATTAATATATTGTACCCCGCGGGAAAAAGATGAGTTTGAGGCGAATCGAATGGTGCATATTCTCCTTAGCTCGTAGGGCTAAGCTCAATCACCAATCTATGTCAGTCAGTCAGGACAAACAGTTGTTATATAAAGAACTACTTATTATAGATCATTTTAAAATCCTGCTAAACAATTAAGGTTTCCCAAGTAATGTGGATATTCAGCATGTTGCCCTTCAAATATATCCAAATGTTCTAGTGACAAACCACAAGCCATAAAATAAATTGCATTTACACCGTTGTTTCCGCTGAACTTGTCAGCTTTCTATGCTTTGCTGGCTACTATTTAAAGACTTGTTTGTGGTTCGAGTTTCTGTTTTTGCTTCGAGCCGAGCGTAAGTTACTACAGAGCTGTTTAACCTGATTTTTTTTTGCCAGCTGGAAGCCCCCGTATTGCATTCATTCACAAAACTGACAATAGCAACTGCAACAAAGTCGCCATGATGCAGCACAAATGCAACCCAAAGCCAACCCACATATCAGCTAATTCACGTGTTGTCCAGTCACAGGTATATTCAGAACAAGTAAGCCAATTTGCTGTCATTAAAAATGCAAGCTTTGTATAAATATAGGGGGATGTGATCAACTTCAAACGGTTGTATGGGGTTGGGACCACAAGCTGTTCTGATCTATCCACAGCCATGTGAGTGAACTGTGAGTGAGCCTCATATGCGGAATGTTGGTTATTATTTATTAAACACGGATTCAATTAAATAATTTTATAAAATTGTTTGAATAGGATGTTTCCAAGTCAAGTGCTCCCAAAATGGACTTAATGCAAGTGCTGATAATTAACGACAAAACATTTAACAACGAACCACACACGAACCAACACTTCTACATTTATGAAAAGAGGGCTAATTACAAGCTTTATGTTGGAATCTTCTGTATACTGCGATTAATTTGATGATAGGCAAATGTCATCAAAGCACAAACACACCAAGAAATGGAGCACACCGCCGACTATAGCAAATAAATAAACGCAGATTAGAGCCACAGCATGACAACGCCAAGAGCAGCAACAACATAAATTCTGAGAGAGGAAAGCTGATCAGGGCAACCACGCATAGCATCGAAACCGCTTGGCCAGCTGGAGCTGGTCGCTGTAGCTAAAGTTGGCGACTGGCGACTGGCGCACACTTATCGTTGAACAACACGACGGAGCGCACGCGCAAAATCGAAACGCTGTAAAAGGAGCAAAACGGTCCAGAGCACAGAGAGTGGTCTTGCGGTAGTTGCAGATTGCATTGGCATTGGTCATGGAATGGGTAGTCATTAAAATTTCGCCTCTGTCGCCGCTAAGCAAGTGCAATAAAATTGTGAGCTTATTACGATGTGCGACCAAAAAGAAAGTTATTGTCGTTGGTGGCCCAGCCGGTTGTTGTAGTGCTGTTGGTGTTGAATCTTCTTGGAGCCTGCTGCTAGGTATTTGCATATTCACATTGTGGCTCAACTTTCAGCATTGCGAGGCAGCGCCAGCCTCAGTGCCAGTTGCTGCCACAAATGAGTCCGCCTGGCCACCCCTGCGTCAATATGATATCTGGAGCGCTGATCTAAAATCACCAGCATCTGACCAGCAACTGCAAACGGAGCTCGAGCTTATCGAGGATGACAATGAGATTGAGGATGATCCAGCAGCACATGAGCAGTTGCTACTGCAGGAAATGTACAGCATTGGCGGCGAATGGAGCAGCAATCAGACCAACAGCAGCAGTCGACGTTCCAAAGGTAAGTTGGTCTAGGTCAACACCAGGCGGGTGAAAGACTTCCACTAGATATTCCAAGTGTTTTTTGAAAATAAATAAAATATAATATACAATGATACATTTTGGCAAAAAAAATGCAATATGAAGTAATTTATCATAAGGTAAGGCTCTCTCTTAAGGCTAGAGTCATCGATTAGATTGAGATTGGACAAAATCTAAAACCTAGAAACAGTCTGATATAGCGTTACACTTTAATATTATTATTTCTCTTATTGCAGTAATACATCTATTTGCTGTGCCCGTAGATGGCGAGTGCCTATCGAATGATGGCCGTCGCTTGGGCAACTGCCTGAATGCGTACGAATGCCGTCAAAAGGGTGGAGAGGCCAAAGGCGAGTGTGCCATGGGTTTCGGCGTATGCTGTGTATTTGTGGCCACGTGTAATGGAACGATTAGCAATAATATTACGTATATTGTGTCGCCGGAGTTTCCCAGTTTTATGCCCAGCAACTTCACTGGTTGCCAGCTCAGTGTCAAGATGATGAGTGAAGACATAAGTCAGCTGCGTCTCGATCTATATCACTTCTCCCTGGGCCAACCCAATCGACGTACCGGCGTTTGCGATGGAGACGTCTTCAATATCAGCGGTGGTCCCGGTGGACCCTTTACGCTCTGTGGCCAAAACAGCGGACAGCATTGTGAGTCCTGATTGATGTCCTTGATTTGATGTTCAAACACGCTTTAATTTATGTAAAGGACAAAAGATTTCTATATTCATAGTAGTCTTGAAGAGTGTTTGAAAAATATTCTAAGCCCAGTGCCAAGAAGCGCGTGTAGCATTCCTGCTCTAAGAGATATATATCCCTTATACTTCCCTTAGCTTAGCACTGAAAAAAATTATTTTCCATATTTACTTTGGTACGATTTGATGTTAATGTAGATGGCATATACCAAAATTTGATGCCTCTAGTTCTTATAAGCTCCAAGTAAGGGTAAAATTTCAAGCCTCACCCTCTTGTAATTTCTGAGATAGACGCTGTCATGCATACGAAGAGACGGGCATATTAATATAAAATATGTATATGTAATGCCTTTTTAAATATTTATAGTATACTACGATGTGGGAGTTCGCGCGCTGCCGCGTCAGACAACGTTGTATGGAAGTCTTCGACCGCCAGCTGCTACAAACATGAGCACTTTCAACGGTTACAATGCTGTGGAACAGCTCATCGAGATCAGTATTAATCTGTCAACACGCTTTTTGCCCATTCGATTGTGGGAGATTCGGGTTGCACAGATACCCTTCAGTCAGCGCGCACCAGCGGGATGTTTGCAATACCACACCGGAGTCGAAGGCATTATGCAGACATTCAATTTCGCTGACAACGGAAGACACTTGGCCAATCAGCACTATCGCATCTGTATGCGCCAGGAGTCCGATATGTGTTCCATCGTATATCAGCCGTGCGATGAGCAATCTTTTCGCATTGGTGGAGGCGGTGGCTCAATTATGTCCGGCATGAACACTATGGCGAGCAGCAGCAGCAGCTCTTCCAATCCCTCGCAAACGGAGACGCCATCGACGGCAACCATAGCTGTTAATAGCACACCCTCAAATACCATGACAATGAGCAGTTTCATGCAAATCATCAACAATACGCTCAATCGCACCTCAACGCCGGGGCCCGCGCAGCCATTAACAAACAATGCCAGCACAGTGGCAACAACTACAGCAGCAGCAGCAGCAGCTGATGTCACATCTGCAGCCAGCAGTACGACAGCCATGATGACCACACCGATGCCTTCGCGTTCGAGTACTGTGCCTGCCATGAGTCCAAGCACTGCTGCAGATGCAACGCCTTCGTCTTCGTCTTCGCCCGCTAACGATGACTCCGAGGGTTCTGGTTGGAGCGAAGAAGATAACATTTTTGATCCGTCTGCAGCGACAACAGAGAGGCTAGGCGTCTCAAGGCGTCCCCGTCCAGTGGGTGGTGGGGGCGGTTCATCGGGTGGATTCGATCTGTTGGGTTTCCTGCGCAGCGCCTTTGATTTACGCCTGAGGCACCGTCGTCGTCGTCAAGCACGTCAATTCTTTAGCACATGCACAGATCGCATAACGATGCCGTGCATCATTGAGGATTTTATTGGCACGGGCCTCGGCCCCTTGCCGGGTTGTGAACCGGTGCACTGCGGCGCCCAGTTTTGTTCCTCGGGTGTCTGGCCATGTCGCATTGAGAGCACCGTCACACCTTTCTACATAGGAGTACATTTTGGAGATGGAAACGTCGAAGGCAAAGGAAGTGCAGAGGATAACATTGGCGCCTGTCTACGCTATTCCCAGGTGCAGTGCATCTAAGCAGCAATTCCACTTTGCCCAACTTTTATTTCGTTTTAGGAAATGCCTTTATTAACACATACATACATATATTTAAGTATTACAATTGCTAGCTGTATTTATATTACATTAAATTTGCTGTGGATGGATGCGAACGAGGCATTTTTGGCAGTCAAATTGGAAATCTTCCTCCGTATGGAATCTTTTTTAAAAAGAAATTAAACTATACCCTAGAAATATTCGGCAGCTACAGCATATACCCTGGGACAATGTTGCTGCGCATATATTCCATAAGCGGTTCTTGAACCCACCCGGTTAATCTGTTTGGAGACGTCGTTCCATATGTGAACTAAATACGAATCCTTTGTGCGTGCCAGCGTCTGCTTCTGTAAATTCGGATCAAAGAAATGTCGCCAATCCTCCCAAGGCACCGCATAAAATGCATTTTGGTCAAACACCTTGAAGCCCAGGCAGCGCTTTTCGTCCTCCATCATCAATGTGATATTTTTAGTGCGACAAACCCTTTGTATCACGCGTGTAATGACACCAGGTCCATTGTTGCCCCAGGCATCACCATCGAAATGCCGCTGAAAGTCGCGTAGACAATATTTGGCAAACTGATGCCCAAAGCCGTGAGGCGCCATGCTCATGACTCCACTGGCAACGTGAGAATCCGACTCGGCGCCTGCATAGTTGAGGGGCACATCCTCCATGCTGCGCAAGAGCACCACGTCCATGTCCAAATAGATGCCACCAAAGCGATAGAGGGTTATAAACCGGAGCAGATCAGATATATGATTTATCAGAAAACTAAGCCCAATGGAAACATATAATTAGTTACAAGGTAGGAACTAGTTACGTCTCACCTGGAGCCAAACAGTTCCCCATATTTTACCCAATCCTCTATAGGTGTACCGGTCACATAACGTCTAAGATTTAATTGACGAAGCTTCACATTTTCGTAGCTTAGAATTGCATCGATGATCGGCTGCTGGTGCTGGCTGCTGTTCTCGTGGTAACGATAGGTTGCACCAGCGAACAGGACAAACACCTCGAAAGTGGGATTATGCAACGCCGCTGACTCAATTGCGCAAGCCTGGCGCGCCGTCAGCTGTAACATGTTGTTCATCATCTCTGGTTTTGGCCTGACAATGCGCGTGGTCTCGAGAAAAAATATGGTGCGTCCGGGTTTTGGTTTAGGTTCCGTCAGCAGCACATCTTTGAGCGGTCTGGGAACATTTGTACTGTTGGATTGCAGCTGCGCCTGCTTCCATATGAAATATGTTATCTCCTTTTTCACGTCTCGTTGGAATGTGTAAGTAAGAATTATGCCGCTTACAAGCAGTCCAAAAAGCGCTAGAATTAATTTTCGTCGAATCTTTGCAAAAATCCTCAACGGAAAAAACGTCAAACGTAATGTCATGTTAATGCCGCGAGGTGTATGCAAATACTGAGAGTTAACCAAACACAAGCGTATCCAATTAATGAGTATTTGTGTTGGCACACTCTATCTAGACAAAATAATGAAATGGACCTTATGAAATTGCGATTAAATATGTTACGGTTACTGCAGCAGCAGTATTTTAAATGTAATAGTTATTATGAATCAACTTAATACCAGGGCGGCAAACCCCAAAACCTTTAAGTTTGGCTGGTGTAGGCTTAGCTTCCGGCTGAGTCTCCATTTTCCATTACACGTTTGAACCAAAATATCTTTGACAAAATATGGCTCCCAGAAAGATTCTGCTTATATTATAATAGAAAAACTATTTGGAATTCCTGTGCAAGCCCGGTTTGTTGTTGAGACGTTTTTCGCCCATGGATAATATCCTTTTTTCCAGTATTCGCATTCTTCTTTGATAGCTACCCAATAGATCTATTATTTTTATCATTTAATTCATCGCATTTTAGTATATCAAAACTTGTTTTAACAAAAAAAGTTTTATGCGAGATTTCTGTTACAAAAAATACCAGTAGAAATTACCATGCTAAATATGTGTATATAATTAACTAAGAAATGGTTGCATAGAAACAGAATATTTATGGATCAGCTTTTGTATTTCGCTGGAAAAAATCGCACTTTAATTGTTTACAAATTTCTCTTAAGCTGTTAAAAAAAAATCTCCCTACAAATATTTACCCGCTGCAGCATACGCCCGAGGACAATTTTTTTCTGCATACATGCCATAGGCAGTTCGCGAGCCGACTTTTATGTGAAATAATTTGGAGATCTGATTCCACACGTGCACTAAGTATGAGTCCTTGGTGCGTGCAAGCGTCTGCTGCAAATATTGCGGCTGAAAGAAGTGGCGCCAATTTCTATAGGAAACTGCATAAAACGCAGTATGATTGAACACATTGAAACCCTGACAACGTGTGCGATCCTCCAACAACAGTGAGATATTCGCGGTGCCGCATATCCTCTGTGCTACGCGTGTGATGACACCAGGTCCATTGTGACCCCAGGCATCACCATCGAATTGCTGTTGAAAATCAAGTAGACAAGATTCAGCAAACTTATGCCCAAAACCAGTTGGCGCCATGCTTAAGACCCCATTGGCAACGTGAGTAAAAGACTCGACACCGGCATAGTTCAGGGGCACATCCTCCATGCTACGCAATAGCACCACGTCCATGTCCAAATAGATGCCACCATAACGATAAAGGGTTATCAGCCGCAGTAGATCAGATACGTGATGAATCGGAAATCTAAACAACACGGATACATATAGTTTGTTACAAAGTAAGAGCTAGTTACGTCTCACCTGGAGCTAAACAGTTCCCCATATTTTACCCAATCCTCAATAGGTGTACCGGTCACATAACGTCTAAGATTTAATTGACGAAGCTGCACATTTTTATAGCTTAGAATTGCATCGATGATAGGCTGCTGGTGCTGGCTGCTGTTCTCGTGGTAACGATAGGTGGGACCAGCGAACAGGACAAACACCTCGAAATTGGGATTATGCAACGCCGCTGACTCAATTGCGCAAGCCTGACGCGCCGTCAGCTGTAACATGTTGTTTATCATCTCAGGTTTTGGCCTGACAGTGCGCGAAGTCTCGAGAAAAAATATAGTACGTCCGGGTTTTGGTTTAGGTTCCGTCAGCAACACATCTTTGAGCGGTCTGGGAACATTTTTACTAATGGACTGTAGCTTCGCTTGTTTCCATATGAAATATGTCGTCTCCTTTTCCACGTCTCGTTGGTATGTGTAGGTAAGGATTATGCCGCCTACAAGCAGTCCAAAAAGCGCTAGAACTAAGTTTAGTCGAACCTTTGGAAGAAACTTGTGAGGAAATAGCGTCAAACTTATTGCCATCTTGATGCTGCGAGATGTATGCAAATACTGAGAGTGTTAGCCAAGCAATATGCGTATCCAATTAATGTGTATTTGTTGCGCACCCTATAGCAAGACAAATGGCTTCTTGATATTGTGCTTACAAATGTAACGACTAATCGAAGATGTCTAAACTCTATAGATAGTATGAATTACAAGATATACAATAAAAATAAATTTTGATAAATAAATAGTGTTTGATCACTTTAAAGTTGGACTTAGGGAATTATTTTCGATTTTTGCATTATTCCTTGCATAACAAAACATTAAATACGCAACGTTTGTAATCCTCCAGCTACTGACTCAATTACGCAGACCTACCGCGCCGTCAATTTCAATACATTGTGCTTTTAAAGCTGGAACTCATTAAATAATAAAATAATGGTTTTGCACAAATGTGTATAAACAGAGTGAAGATTTTGCGCCCTGCACAATTTGTATAAAATCTATACAGAATTTACGGTTTTTAAACATATCCCGTACAGAGATATCTAATATATCAAATATCCCCCATTGCCTTATTATTCAAAAATAAATGAATTGTTGGGCGAATAGGGCAGCAAATAGTCGTAAATTGATAGTGGGGCAGTAATAAGAAAAATACATTTTTACATTTTTTATTGAATATTCACAGACATTCACAGATTAATTTATTTACCATATTGTACATATAAAGGTTTGTATATAATAGAAGAACTTCTCAAAGTGGTGTACAGAAAAAAAATTACATATGAGTTATAAAATTATCTGAGCTCAGTGTACTGAGATTCGAATTAATTTAAAGATTATTTTTGAATTATATGAAATTATAATATATTATCTATTAAAAATCCATTTAATGGGACAGTCAAAAACACATTTTATTCGAATACCCTTGCAAACAGTACCATAATTTAGTATTTATTGACTATAGACATGTGTATAAAAATGTATGAGATTTTGTGTCTATAAATTTTGGTTTTGTTCAATGCTCACCAAAAAAACAATTAGTAAATATGTGTTGTTTCGATAGACCTATCAATTTTCTATTCCAAAAGTTGATAAACAGAAGAGTCTTACGGGCGGAAAGTTGTAGAACAAACTTTCCACGCTACAGACTCTTAAAAAAGAAGAACAGAACCATTTAATAATATTAATATCGAATTGGTTCGTAATTGTTTGCAACGATATTAAGTCTTTGACAAGCCAAAGCTGTAGATTTATGTAGATATTTATATTTTAAACACATTTAAATTCAATTTTTGATATACATGCATGTCATACATTTAAGTATATTTTTCGTTTTTGTACGTTCATTTAATGTAATATGTGATGCAATGTAATAATTGGTTTGGAAAAAGAAAATAAATAAATAAATGGAATATGTTGGGTCCGTTGAACCACCATTTTGTGCTGACTAAATGTTGGTAATTCATATAAAATTTGGAATGCGCGTTGCTAGCATATTAAACAATTGAACTTAACTTACCTAAGTCTCTCTAACTCTTTGGTATGTTGAACTATATTTCAATAGTTTTTTAGAAATATTCACCCGCTGCTGCATACGCCTTGGGACAATGCTGCTCCGCATACTTGCCGTAGGCGGTACTCGATCCGACCTTGATGGCCAGCTGTTTGGAGTGCTTGTTCCACACGTGCACCAAGTATGAGTCCTTCGTGTGTTCCAGAGTCTGCTCGAGCAGCTGGGGCTCGAAGAAATGCCGCCAATGCTTCCAGGGTACAGCATAAAACGCATTGCGATCGAATACCTTGAAGCCAAGGCAGCGTTTCCGATCTTCCAGCATCAGTGAGATATCTTGTGTGCCACAAATCTGTTGTGCCACACGCGTTATAACCCCAGGCCCATTGTTGCCCCAGTCACTACCGTCGAAATGCAGCTGAAAATCACGCAGGCAAGACTCGGCAATCTCATGACCAAAACCAGTGGGGGCTAGACTCATTACGCCAGCGGCCAAATGTGTATTGGACTCGGCGCCCGTAAAATTTGGCGGCACATCCTCCATGCTGCGTAGCATTACTACATCCATGTCCAAATAAATACCGCCATAGCGATAAAGCGTTAGAAATCTTAAAAAATCTGATATATGCGAGAAAAGATAGCTGAAAGGCACACATTCAGTCACATAGAGGTTCGTTAGCCAAAAACTAAAATCTGATTGTGCTCACCTTGACCGAAACAAGCGTCCATCCTTTAGCCACTCCTCAATAGGCGTGCCGGCCGCATAGCGCCAAAGATTTAACTGTCGAAGCTGCACATTTTTGTAGCTTAGAATGGCATCGATGATCGGCTGCTGGCGTTGGCTGCTGTTGCTGAGGTGTCGATAGGTGGGACCAGCGAACAGCACAAACACTTGAAAATTCGGATTATGCAATGCGGCAGATTCAATGGCACATGCCTGGCGCGCCGTTAACTGCAACATGTTGTACTGTAAATCAGGACTTTGGCCATGACGCTGTCTTCTTCGTTTTGGTCTGTGACAACTTGTTTCATGAAAGAATATGCTACGGCCAGGTATTGGCTTGGGATCTGTTGACAGCACATCTTCCAAAATCTTTGGAACAGGCACAGCAGCGTCCGTCAAAGGGCCACTGGAAGCCGACTCTGTTTGCTCCCTCTCAATAAAACAAAGTTGCACATCCGACTGCCATCTATAATTTAAGAGTATGCCGCCTAAAAGCAGGACAATTAGCGCTAGGAATAGCAGCCGCAGCCGTCCATTGTGCAGAAAACGCGATAACAACAGCGGCAAGCGTAGTAACATGGCGATGCAGCCTGATCGTAAGGTATATACACACATGGAATGTTGCTTTGATTATTATAAATATGTACCTGAGCCATCTGTTGTGTACTTACTCAATATTTATTTAAGCAATTTCATTGCGTTATCATAATTGCACAGCTGGGTAAATAAAATGTATAATTAATGTACACATATATACGTATACAGAGTTTAAGTTCGGTTTAGTTTACTACTGGAATCAACGTCCAGCGGCGAAGAGTATGTATCTTGCCTAAAATATTAAATAATTAAGAAATAAAATTCGAATAACAGTGCCAAATGAGTAAATTCTTTAAGATGAGGGTCTGCGACTGTGGGGTGGTTATTGTTTAGTATAAATAGTTCCGTTAGTAAGAAATGTCGATTTATGTTGATCAATCTGCGTAGTTTTACACAAGGAAACTATTTCCGGTGGTGGAAAATAGTTATATTGCCTAGAAAACTACATACGAAGAAAATAAAACTTATATAGCAGAGCCAAATGAGTAAATTCAACATGACCTGTTATCGGCAATGCAATAAGCTAAGCGTTTGATAGTTTTGGACTATCGTTTAAACATCTTATTAAATATCGTATAATTTCACCGCAAAAATTGTATTTGCATGGAAATAACATTTAATTTTAACATTGGATTGCACTAGACATTTTATTATTGTACTGAATTATTATATACTCAATTATACTTAGCTGAACTATTTAAATATCGAACTATTTCTTTATAAGTGGTAAAGGTGGAAAAGTAAAGGAGAAACGTTTGGCGCTTGACAGCATCACGTTTTAGAATATGATATAATCTGTGCTTGCGCGTTTTATTAAGGTTGAATTAAATGATTTTGATCTCTTAATATAACGGATTGGTGGTCCTGAAAAGGACCGATTGGTGTCAACATAAATTCTACTTTCCTTTTTTAACCCCCAAAACCGTACAGGGTACGGCCTTGTCTTTTCAGCGCATAAACAACATCCATGGCTGTGACTGTCTTCCTCTTGGCGTGCTCGGTGTATGTGACCGCATCACGGATGACATTCTCCAAGAAAACCTTTAGAACACCGCGAGTTTCCTCATAAATAAGACCAGAAATACGTTTTACGCCACCACGACGAGCTAAACGCCGGATAGCTGGTTTCGTGATGCCCTGGATATTATCACGCAACACTTTGCGATGACGTTTTGCGCCTCCTTTACCCAAGCCTTTGCCACCTTTACCACGACCAGTCATTTTTCACTTTCGTTTTTTTACTTCACTTTACACCACGAATGTCACAGAGATACTAATGCTAGCTCTTCGGGCAGCGCTTATATTTATACCAAAAAATCAAAAAGACGAGCGAGTAAAAACATATTTCCATCTCGCTCACATACTACCCTTGTAACATATTCGACAAAACGGCGAACAGCGAATATATCGATCTCTTTCTAACTTATCACTCATTTTCTATATAAGCGATACACAAACGAGACGCACGATTATTGTGTTTTTAACAGTGACAGTGTGAAGTTAGAATTGTGAAAGAAAGATGGCTCGTACTAAGCAGACTGCTCGTAAATCAACTGGAGGAAAGGCTCCTCGGAAACAGTTGGCTACTAAGGCAGCACGTAAAAGTGCTCCAGCAACTGGTGGTGTGAAGAAACCTCATCGCTATAGGCCAGGCACTGTTGCCCTGCGTGAAATTCGTCGCTACCAGAAGAGCACGGAACTGCTTATTCGCAAGTTGCCGTTCCAGCGTTTAGTACGCGAAATTGCTCAGGACTTCAAGACCGACTTACGTTTCCAGAGCTCGGCTGTGATGGCTTTGCAGGAAGCTAGCGAAGCCTATCTAGTTGGCCTATTCGAAGATACAAACTTGTGTGCTATCCACGCTAAGCGTGTCACCATCATGCCCAAGGACATTCAACTGGCCAGACGTATTCGAGGAGAGCGCGCTTAAGTTATACCTCGTCCCTAATATATAAATATCCGACAAATCGGTCCTTTTCAGGACCACAAAATATTTTTAGCAAGGAGATTCTTATTTTCGTATAAATATATTATTCTTTATAAAATGTAACAATAAATAAATAAGGCATAACAATATTTGCTTTACCTCATTGTATCTTAAAGATAAATCCATATGCATATTTTGGGTTCAATCGAAAATTCCTTCATTATGTTCCACCTACAAATTATATGTAAACGCATAGATGATTTTCTGATAAGCTGTATAAGGCATTTGGTTTGGGCCTCAACGCACAATAAATTGTGCTACAAGAGATACTTCCTGGATTACGAAAAAAAAAAACAACTAAGGGCTTGATGGATTTTACACAGAAATGTCATATGGATTTCGCATATTTTATTAATCTAGTATCAACTATAATAACGATTTGTTTTAATAAATGGAACAATCTTTCTTCTGATGGATTTTTCGCTACACAGAAATCTCTTATGGATGTCGCATGATATTTTATTAGTTTAGTTTCAATTATAATTTTAATTTGTTTCACTAATTGGAATTATCTTATAACTCCCTTTTTTTTTAAATATAGACATATAATATAATATAACTATTAAAGACAAAATTAGATTTGTCTGAAGCGTTTTTATATTGATTTCATTGTGAACTTGCCTGTTTTTACCAGCTAAGGGTTATGTTAAATAGATATTTAAAATAGAAGACTTAAGATATATTTAAATTAATAGTTGAATTTGATTAAAGAATTGTTGAAATATTGTATTTAAATGGAAAACATTTCAAGTTTCATTATATTTTTATTAATAAACGTGTTTTTTGTTCGATAACCTTTTTCGCCAAGACTCAAAGTTAAACTTTGACTGGCAATTAAAAATCATAAAATCATGTTAAATACACTAAATAATTGATATTGTATTATTTGAATATTAAACAAAACATTCCAATTCACATTCACAACGATTTCCAAATACAAACATTAGTAAATGACCATTTAACAAGTATGTAATGACGACGCATCGAGTAACAAACGTTCAATACCAAAAACATTCTCGTACCGCCGTCCTCCTCGATTCTCACGCAAACGGGTGACCAAAGAAATGGATTTTTTTCGAAAATTTACAAGTGAACAGTGAATAAAGTGAATAAAGTGAAGTTAAGATGTCTGATTCCGCAGTTGCAACGTCCGCATCTCCTGTGATTGCCCAAGCAGCCTCAGGCGAGAAAAAGGTGGCTACTAAAAAGGCAGCAGCCGCCACACCAAAGTCAAAGAAGTCAACAGCTCCCCCATCGCACCCACCAACTCAGCAAATGGTAGATGCATCGATTAAAAATTTAAAGGAACGTGGTGGCTCATCCCTTCTGGCAATTAAAAAATATATCGGTGCTACATACAAGTGCGATGCCCAGAAGCTAGCCCCGTTCATTAAGAAGTACCTAAAGAATGCGGTTGCGAATGGAAAGCTGATCCAAACAAAGGGCAAGGGTGCCTCCGGTTCGTTTAAACTATCTGCATCTGCTAAAAAGGATCCCAAGCCAAAGGCCTCCGCTGTCGAGAAGAAAACTAAGAAGGTGAATGCTTCGGCGGCAGCAGCAACTAAAAAGAAGAGTAGTACGTCTACCACGAAGAAAGCAGCGGGTGCCGCTGATAAAAAGCTATCAAAATCCGCACCAACCAAGAAGAGTGTTGAGAAAAAGAAGGCGGACAAAGCAAAGGCTAAGGATGCGAAGAAAACAGGAACCATAAAGGCCAAGCCCACAACAGCAAAGGCTAAGTCAAGCGCAACAAAGCCAAAGACCCCAAAGCCTAAGACCACAAGTGCTAAACCGAAAAAAGTCGTGTCGGCTACGACCCCCAAGAAAACTGCTGTCAAGAAGCCAAAAGCGAAGACTGCATCTGCAACGAAGAAATAATTTGAAATTGCTAACTGCTCGTCAGCATATGCAAATTTCTAATACTGAAATTTGTTTTACCACAAAGCCCTTTTAAGGGCTACAAACATGATTTTCTAAGAGAAAGAATATTTCTTTTTGTGTACAACAGCAAATAGCTTATGTTAGATTGGACTAGTCAACTAGTCTTCATTCTAAATATCATATACATATCACATACCATTTCACCGCAACATTTTATAATCAAAAGTACTCGACTGAACGTCATATCTCGTTTTGGAACGTCATATCTCCGCACGGAGTTATGTCGTTTTGTAACGTCATATCTCCGCGCGGAGTTATGTCGTTTTGGAACGTCATATCTCCGCGCGGAGTTATGTCGTTTTGGAACGTCATATCTCCGCGCGGAGTTATGTCGTTTTGGAACGTCATATCTCCGCGCGGAGTTATGTCGTTTTGGAACGTCATATCTCCGCGCGGAGTTGTGTCGTTTTGGAACGTCATATCTCCGCGCGGAGTTATGTCGTTTTGGAACGTCATATCTCCGCGCGGAGTTATGTCGTTTTGGAACGTCATATCTCCGCGCGGGGCTATTTTAAAAAAAAAAATCATGGAAAAAGTTTCGACTTTCGCACCGACCTCGATTTTGAAGAAAACGTGATGTAGCCCCTTGCCATTTTGTCGATTTGGGTCAAAATATTAGATTTCCCTTTTTTTGATGCCAGTCGATGGAACTGATCCTTACAAGTCAAAAATAGTATGAAATTGCAAAATCTGACATTATTTGACGGAAATATTCCAAAAAATCATCAAAGAGATGGAATTTACGAACGAATCAGTTTTTTGTCAACAACATTTTTCAACCCATCGATGATCAATTTGTTTGAATGCCAATTGATGGTAGGGATCCGTACGCATTCAAAAAGGTATAACATTTTAAAATCAGACATTATTTACCCGAGATATTAAAAAAAAATCATCGAAAAAGCTTCGATTTTCGCACCGACCTCGATCTGCGCAGGCACTAGGAGCACCTACATCTAAAATTTCAAGTCTATAGCTCTTATATGTTCTGAGATCCTTGCGTTCATACATATGGACGGACGGACAGACTGACATGGCTAGATCGACTCGGCTATTGATGCTGATCAAGAATATATATACTTTATGGGGTCGGAGATGCTTCCTTCTGCCTGTTACATACATTTGGATTTTGCACAAATACAATATACCCTTGTACCCATTTTTAATGGGTTCAGGGTTTAAAAAACGAACATCTGTGATCACGGTCGATCTCAGAATCTGAGATGGGGACGCTTAACAGCATCACGTTTCGTTAGTGTTGAATAATTAATATTTTTTATCTCTTAATGAAACGGATTGGTGGTCCTGAAAAGGACCGACTGTGTCAACATAAATTCAATATTTTCTTATTAACCGCCAAAACCGTACAGGGTACGGCCTTGTCTTTTCAGCGCATAAACTACATCCATGGCTGTGACTGTCTTCCTCTTGGCGTGCTCGGTGTATGTGACCGCATCACGGATGACATTCTCCAAGAAAACCTTTAGAACACCGCGAGTTTCCTCATAAATAAGACCAGAAATACGTTTTACGCCACCACGACGAGCTAAACGCCGGATAGCTGGTTTCGTGATGCCCTGGATATTATCACGCAACACTTTGCGATGACGTTTTGCGCCTCCTTTACCCAAGCCTTTGCCACCTTTACCACGACCAGTCATTTTTCACTTTCTTTTTTTTACTTCACTTTACACCACGAATGTCACAGAGATACTAATGCTAGCTCTTCGGGCAGCGCTTATATTTATACCAAAAAATCAAAAAGACGAGCGAGTAAAAACATATTTCCATCTCGCTCACACACTACCCTTGTAACATATTCGACAAAACGGCGAACAGCGAATATATCGATCTCTTTCTAACTTATCACTCATTTTCTACATAAGCGATACACAAACGAGACGCACGATTATTGTGTTTTTAACAGTGACAGTGTGAAGTTAGAATTGTGAAAGAAAGATGGCTCGTACTAAGCAGACTGCTCGTAAATCAACTGGAGGAAAGGCTCCTCGGAAACAGTTGGCTACTAAGGCAGCACGTAAAAGTGCTCCAGCAACTGGTGGTGTGAAAAAACCTCATCGCTATAGGCCAGGCACTGTTGCCCTGCGTGAAATTCGTCGCTACCAGAAGAGCACGGAACTGCTTATTCGCAAGTTGCCGTTCCAGCGTTTAGTACGCGAAATTGCTCAGGACTTCAAGACCGACTTACGTTTCCAGAGCTCGGCTGTGATGGCTTTGCAGGAAGCTAGCGAAGCCTATCTAGTTGGCCTATTCGAAGATACAAACTTGTGTGCTATCCACGCTAAGCGTGTCACCATCATGCCCAAGGACATTCAACTGGCCAGACGTATTCGAGGAGAGCGCGCTTAAGTTATACCTCGTCCCTAATATATAAATATCCGACAAATCGGTCCTTTTCAGGACCACAAAATATTTTTAGCAAGGAGATTCTTATTTTCGTATAAATATATTATTCTTCATAAAATGTAACAATAAATAAATAAGGCATTACAATATTTGCTTTACCTCATTGTATCTTAAAGATAAATCCATAGGCATATTTTGGGATTGAGCCCAAAATTCCTTCATTATGTTCCACCTACAAATTATATGTAAACGCATAGATGATTTTCTGATAAGCTGTATAAGGCATTTGGTTTGGGCCTCAACGCACAATAAATTGTGCTACAAGAGATACTTCCTGGATTACGAAAAAAAATCAACTAAGGGCTTGATGGATTTTACACAGAAATGTCATATGGATTTCGCATATTTTATTAATTTAGTATCAACTATAATAACGGTTTGTTTTAATAAATGGAACAATCTTTCTTCTGATGGATTTTTCGCTACACAGAAATCTCTTATGGATGTCGCATGATATTTTATTAGTTTAGTTTCAATTATAATTTCAATTTGTTTCACTAATTGGAATTATCTTATAACTCCCTTTTTTTTTAAATATAGACATATAATATAATATAACTATATAAGACAAAATTAGATTTGTCTGAAGCGTTTTTATATTGATTTCATTGTGAACTTGCCTGTTTTTACCAGCTAAGGGTTATGTTAAATAGATATTTAAAATAGAAGACTTAAGATATATTTAAATTAATAGTTGAATTTGATTAAAGAATTGTTGAAATATTGTATTTAAATGGAAAACATTTCAAGTTTCATTATATTTTTATTAATAAACGTGTTTTTTGTTCGATAACCTTTTTCGCCAAGACTCAAAGTTAAACTTTGACTGGCAATTAAAAATCATAAAATCATGTTAAATACACTAAATAATTGATATTGTATTATTTGAATATTAAACAAAACATTCCAATTCACATTCACAACGATTTCCATATACAAACATTAGTAAATGACCATTTAACAAGTATGTAATGACGACGCATCGAGTAACAAACGTTCAATACCAAAAACATTCTCGTACCGCCGTCCTCCTCGATTCTCACGCAAACGGGTGACCAAAGAAATGGTTTTTTTTCGAAAATTTACAAGTGAACAGTGAATAAAGTGAATAAAGTGAAGTTAAGATGTCTGATTCCGCAGTTGCAACGTCCGCATCTCCTGTGATTGCCCAAGCAGCCTCAGGCGAGAAAAAGGTGGCTACTAAAAAGGCAGCAGCCGCCACACCAAAGTCAAAGAAGTCAACAGCTCCCCCATCGCACCCACCAACTCAGCAAATGGTTGATGCATCGATTAAAAATTTAAAGGAACGTGGTGGCTCATCCCTTCTGGCAATTAAAAAATATATCGGTGCTACATACAAGTGCGATGCCCAGAAGCTAGCCCCGTTCATTAAGAAGTACCTAAAGAATGCGGTTGCGAATGGAAAGCTGATCCAAACAAAGGGCAAGGGTGCCTCCGGTTCGTTTAAACTATCTGCATCCGCTAAAAAGGATCCCAAGCCAAAGGCCTCCGCTGTCGAGAAGAAAACTAAGAAGGTGAATGCTTCGGCGGCAGCAGCAACTAAAAAGAAGAGTAGTACGTCTACCACGAAGAAAGCAGCGGGTGCCGCTGATAAAAAGCTATCAAAATCCGCACCAACCAAGAAGAGTGTTGAGAAAAAGAAGGCGGACAAAGCAAAGGCTAAGGATGCGAAGAAAACAGGAACCATAAAGGCCAAGCCCACAACAGCAAAGGCTAAGTCAAGCGCAACAAAGCCAAAGACCCCAAAGCCTAAGACCACAAGTGCTAAACCGAAAAAAGTCGTGTCGGCTACGACCCCCAAGAAAACTGCTGTCAAGAAGCCAAAAGCGAAGACTGCATCTGCAACGAAGAAATAATTTGAAATTGCTAACTGCTCGTCAGCATATGCAAATTTCTAATACTGAAATTTGTTTTACCACAAAGCCCTTTTAAGGGCTACAAACATGATTTTCTAAGAGAAAGAATATTTCTTTTTGTCTACAACAGCAAATAGCTTATGTTAGATTGGACTAGTCAACTAGTCTTCATTCTAAATATCATATACATATCACATACTATTTCACCGCAACATTTTATAATCAAAAGTACTCGACTGATTAAATTAGGTTGACTTGCCTATAAGAAATAAAAAACACCCCTCTAAAGATCGCAAAGACGAAATGTGTAGATACTCGAATATTTACGATAATAGAAAAGTTCTTAGAGCGCAACCAGAACAGTACGAACCATATAAGATATTATTTGGATTTGTGAATATTTTTAATTCCTTGAAAAGAGATTTGTGGCCCTGAAAAGGGCCTTTTGCTTTTGTTTGCTTCCCGTACAATGTACATGTAGCTGAATTTTACTTGGAGCTGGTGTACTTTGTAACTGCTTTTGTTCCCTCACTGACAGCGTGCTTGGCCAATTCACCGGGCAGCAAAAGACGTACTGCGGTTTGGATTTCCCGACTGGTAATAGTCGAGCGTTTGTTGTAGTGAGCCAAACGGGAGGCCTCGGCAGCAATACGCTCGAAAATGTCGTTAACAAAGCTGTTCATTATGCTCATCGCCTTTGACGAAATGCCGGTGTCAGGGTGGACCTGCTTGAGCACTTTGTAAATGTAGATAGCGTAGCTTTCCTTCCTCTTGCGCTTCTTCTTCTTGTCATTCTTGGTAATGTTTTTCTGAGCCTTACCAGCCTTTTTGGCTGCCTTCCCACTTGTTTTCGGCGGCATTATTATTCACAAACGTTCACTTTAATTCACTTCACAAATGTTTGACACACCCCAAAGTAGCTTAGCATTTATACTTTTTTCGAACGACGCTTTCATGTTAACAGCCCGTTCAACTCTCTACTCTAAACTGAAGAAGTGGTTAGTTGAAAAAAGTATAAATACAATAGTCGTGAGGTTTGATGTCAATAACATTCGATATTTGTGTGTAAGCAGTGAAACAGTGAAATAAGAAAAATAAAATGTCTGGTCGCGGTAAAGGTGGAAAAGTGAAGGGAAAGGCAAAGTCGCGTTCTAACCGCGCTGGTCTTCAGTTTCCCGTTGGTCGTATTCACCGCCTCCTTCGTAAGGGCAACTATGCTGAACGTGTTGGTGCCGGTGCTCCTGTCTACTTGGCTGCCGTTATGGAATATTTGGCCGCTGAAGTTTTGGAGTTGGCTGGCAATGCTGCACGCGACAACAAGAAAACCAGAATTATCCCTCGCCATTTGCAATTGGCCATCCGTAACGATGAGGAGTTAAATAAACTGCTTTCGGGCGTCACCATTGCCCAGGGTGGTGTTTTGCCCAACATCCAAGCAGTTCTGTTACCCAAGAAGACCGAAAAGAAGGCATAATTTGCTAGTTCACTAAACAACAAAAAAACAGCGTATACATTTGTAAATACTCGAAACCAAACGTCCTTTTCAGGACGACCAAAAATGTCAAAAAAGAGATTATCTTTTCATTCACTAATGTATCCGAAATCGATTCAATACAAACTACATTTTAGAGCTCAAAAGTACATTCACCGTACTAGTCAATAAAAATGTGCAATATTGCCTTATCCAATGCGGTGGTTGTTTGTTTGTGATAGTTTAAAAACAAGCACAAAATAAATATGTAAGACAAGTAAGAGGTTCTAGTCGGGAGCTCCCGACTAAAGGACACCCTGAACACTCTTCTTCCAACATCAAATGCATATATATGTTCTATTTTCGAAGCTATATGTCAAGTTTGGGGACTCTAGCTTTGATTATTTACCAAAATTCCCCAAAATACAGGATATCGATTGGCTTGGAAACGGAGTAAGTTATCGATTATTGGAAACAAACTCGATCTCCGCGAGCACTAGGAGCACCTACATCTAAAATTTCTCTAGCTCTTATAGGCTCTGACATCCTTGCGTTCATACGTACGGACAGACGGACGGGCAGACAGACGGACATGGCTAGATCGACTCGGCTATTGATGCTGATCAAGAGTATATATACTTTATGGGGTCAGAGATGCTTCCTTCTGCCTGTTACATAAATTTGTGTTTGGAACAAATACAGTATACCCTTATACCCATTTTTAATGGGTTCAGGGTATAATCATCGAAAAAGTTTCGACTTTCGCACCGACCTCGATTTTGAAAAAAAAGAACGTGATGATTTGGAAGGCCATATCATATCCGCGGGGAGTTATGTCGTTTTGGAACGTCATATCTCCATCGAAAAAGTTTCGATTTTCGCACCGACCTCGATTTTGAAAAAATCGTGATGATTTGGAAGGCCATATCTCCGCGCAGAGTTATGTCGTTTTGGAACGTCATATCTCCGCGCGGAGTTATGTCGCTTTGGAACGTCATATCTCCGCGCGGAGTTATGTCGCTTTGGAACGTCATATCTCCGCGCGGAGTTATGTCGATTTGGAACGTCATATCTCCGCGCGGGGCTATTCAAAAAAAAAATCATGGAAAAAGTTTCGACTTTCGCACCGACCTCGATTTTGAAGAAAACGTGATGTAGCCCCTTGCCATTTTGTCGATTTGGGTCAAAATTTTAGATTTCCTTTTTTTGATGCCAATCGATAGAACTTGCAAAATCGGACATTATTTGACGGAAATATTTCAAAAAATCATCAAAGAGATGGAATTTACGAACGAATCAGTTTTTTGTCAACAACAATTTTCAACCCATCGATGATTAATTTTTTTTGAATGCCAATTGATGGTAGGGATCCGTACGCATTCAAAAAGGTATAACATTTTAAAATCAGACATTATTTACCCGAGATATTAAAAAAAAATCATCGAAAAAACTTCGATTTTCGCACCGACCTCGATTTTGAAAAAAAAAACGTGATGATTTGGAAGGTCATATCATATCCGCGTGGAGTTATGTCGTTTTGGAACGTCATATCTCCATCGAAAAAGTTTCCATTTTCGCACCGACTCGATCTGCGCAGGCACTAGGAGCACCTACATCTAAAATTTCAAGTCTATAGCTCTTATATGTTCTGAGATCCTTGCGTTCATACATATGGACGGACGGACAGACTGACATGGCTAGATCGACTCGGCTATTGATGCTGATCAAGAATATATATACTTTATGGGGTCGGAGATGCTTCCTTCTGCCTGTTACATACATTTGGATATTGCACAAATACAATATACCCTTGTACCCATTTTTAATGGGTTCAGGGTTTAAAAAACGAACATCTGTGATCACGGTCGATCTCAGAATCTGAGATGGAGTCGCTTAACAGCATCACGTTTCGTTAGTGTTGAATAATTAATATTTTTTATCTCTTAATGAAACGGATTGGTGGTCCTGAAAAGGACCGATTGTGTCAACATAAATTCAATATTTTCTTATTAACCGCCAAAACCATACAGGGTACGGCCTTGTCTTTTCAGCGCATAAACAACATCCATGGCTGTGACTGTCTTCCTCTTGGCGTGCTCGGTGTATGTGACCGCATCACGGATGACATTCTCCAAGAAAACCTTTAGAACACCGCGAGTTTCCTCATAAATAAGACCAGAAATACGTTTTACGCCACCACGACGAGCTAAACGCCGGATAGCTGGTTTCGTGATGCCCTGGATATTATCACGCAACACTTTGCGATGACGTTTTGCGCCTCCTTTACCCAAGCCTTTGCCACCTTTACCACGACCAGTCATTTTTCACTTTCTTTTTTTTACTTCACTTTACACCACGAATGTCACAGAGATACTAATGCTAGCTCTTCGGGCAGCGCTTATATTTATACCAAAAAATCAAAAAGACGAGCGAGTAAAAACATATTTCCATCTCGCTCACATACTACCCTTGTAACATATTCGACAAAACGGCGAACAGCGAATATATCGATCTCTTTCTAACTTATCACTCATTTTCTATATAAGCGATACACAAACGAGACGCACGATTATTGTGTTTTTAACAGTGACAGTGTGAAGTTAGAATTGTGAAAGAAAGATGGCTCGTACTAAGCAAACTGCTCGTAAATCAACTGGAGGAAAGGCTCCTCGGAAACAGTTGGCTACTAAGGCAGCACGTAAAAGTGCTCCAGCAACTGGTGGTGTGAAGAAACCTCATCGCTATAGGCCAGGCACTGTTGCCCTGCGTGAAATTCGTCGCTACCAGAAGAGCACGGAACTGCTTATTCGCAAGTTGCCGTTCCAGCGTTTAGTACGCGAAATTGCTCAGGACTTCAAGACCGACTTACGTTTCCAGAGCTCGGCTGTGATGGCTTTGCAGGAAGCTAGCGAAGCCTATCTAGTTGGCCTATTCGAAGATACAAACTTGTGTGCTATCCACGCTAAGCGTGTCACCATCATGCCCAAGGACATTCAACTGGCCAGACGTATTCGAGGAGAGCGCGCTTAAGTTATACCTCGTCCCTAATATATAAATATCCGATAAATCGGTCCTTTTCAGGACCACAAAATATTTTTAGCAAGGAGATTCTTATTTTCGTATAAATATATTATTCTTCATAAAATGTAACAATAAATAAATAAGGCATTACAATATTTGCTTTACCTCATTGTATCTTAAAGATAAATCCATAGGCATATTTTGGGCTCAATCGAAAATTCCTTCATTATATTCCACCGACGACAAGTTATATGTAGATGCATAGATGATTTTCTGATAAGCTGTATAAGGCATTTGGTTTGCGCCTCAACGCACAATCAGTTGTGCTACAAGAGATACTTCCTGGATTACGAAAAAAAATCAACTAAGGGCTTGATGGATTTTACACAGAAATGTCATATGGATTTCGCATATTTTATTAATCTAGTATCAACTATAATAACGATTTGTTTTAATAAATGGAACAATCTTTCTTCTGATGGATTTTTCGCTACACAGAAATCTCTTATGGATGTCGCATGATATTTTATTAGTTTAGTTTCAATTATAATTTCAATTTGTTTCACTAATTGGAATTATCTTATAACTCCCTTTTTTTTTTAAATATAGACATATAATATAATATAACTATTAAAGACAAAATTAGATTTGTCTGAAGCGTTTTTATATTGATTTCATTGTGAACTTGCCTGTTTTTACCAGCTAAGGGTTATGTTAAATAGATATTTAAAATAGAAGACTTAAGATATATTTAAATTAATAGTTGAATTTGATTAAAGAATTGTTGAAATATTGTATTTAAATGGAAAACATTTCAAGTTTCATTATATTTTTATTAATAAACGTGTTTTTTGTTCGATAACCTTTTTCGCCAAGACTCAAAGTTAAACTTTGACTGGCAATTAAAAATCATAAAATCATGTTAAATACACTAAATAATTGATATTGTATTATTTGAATATTAAACAAAACATTCCAATTCACATTCACAACGATTTCCAAATACAAACATTAGTAAATGACCATTTAACAAGTATGTAATGACGACGCATCGAGTAACAAACGTTCAATACCAAAAACATTCTCGTACCGCCGTCCTCCTCGATTCTCACGCAAACGGGTGACCAAGGAAATGGATTTTTTTCGAAAATTTACAAGTGAACAGTGAATAAAGTGAATAAAGTGAAGTTAAGATGTCTGATTCCGCAGTTGCAACGTCCGCATCTCCTGTGATTGCCCAAGCAGCCTCAGGCGAGAAAAAGGTGGCTACTAAAAAGGCAGCAGCCGCCACACCAAAGTCAAAGAAGTCAACAGCTCCCCCATCGCACCCACCAACTCAGCAAATGGTAGATGCATCGATTAAAAATT